TCTTAGACATAGAACAGAGAATTAAGATTAAAAACAAAACACTGAAGGGAAAAAAAACACTGAGGGGAAAGGCTAATATTGACCTCTCATATCTATGTATGAAAGACTGTAACTGTGTGACCTTAGCGCTAATCATGTCTTTTGTGGTTTGTTTTTCATCTGCATCTTTTCAAAAGTGTACGAGGCCTTCATGGTCTGCATATGCGGCACATTATTGTTCCTGATACATCCGCTTGATTTGCATTTAAAGCAGTTCTTTTCACATGCTTCTCTTGAACGGGCCCAGAATGTTTAAAGTAACGTCGTAATATCAGAAATATGAGGACATGCATTGTTAACTAAAAGCTCACTGAGTAGGACACAAGCCCAAAGCTCTTAACCGTCCTCAATATCCAATGAAGAAACGGGTCTATTACTTTCTTTCCAGTTGTGACATTTACTATGTATCAAATGCGGCCCCTCATTCACTGCCTCCCCTACAGAGCAAATCCATTTCCTCCTATGATTAATTTCATTGTTGCCGGAGATATTATTATTCTCCTATTCTGCTCAGCCTGGGTCCAGGGATTGGCCTTGATTTGTAATTCTGCTTGGGTTTCGCTGATGTTAGGAAGCACATGCTCGCCTGAGCTATACGGTAATAAGATTCCGGGCACTCTTTCTCCCGTCAGAACCCAAAACATCATTCCAAAGCCAGGTTATTATGGCAACACAATGCCCCACCGGATAGCGGGTCACAGTGGATTATTGCACAATAATGACGGAGGAAAATTAGAACATATCAAACCGGGAACACTACAGTCCAAAGCACACAGGTAATCATCATTTACAGCAATTAAGATTGAGCCATTTCTGCAAAATAATAGTCTGTGAGTTTGATTCACTTATGGGTGAACACCCTTGGATTTACATAATAGTCTCATCAAAAGGGTTATGCCATAATTATTGTTATATTTTGATCTCGGGGAATGATTACCTTGTAAAATAATTGTGTTGATTTCATGTACTTTGGTGTTTTTAAAATTGCCAACCAAAGAATATATCTCCTGTATTTTACTTGTTGCTCCTCATACAGCTTCCATTCACCAAACATGGCCTACATTCCTTCAAACTATTCAAACTGCAAGAGGCTTTAGACGGTCGGAAACATCCAGGCAAGGACAACAATCATTTTAGTAAAACATAATCTTTTAAAGTGCCCCATTATGGTTTTTCGAATATTCCCTTTCATGTAGTGTGTAATAGAGCTGTTTGTAAATGTAAAAGGTCTGAAAAGTTTCACAAATCAAAGTGCAGATAAATGGAGTTATTGTCTCCTAAAAGAAAGAAGTGATTCTGAATTGTTTGAAACGATTCGTCAGTAATTCCAGTCTTACTTTTTGATCCAGCCTACATAGGTTTGTTACTAATTTGCATAATGCTCCTCATTGGCTGAACAGCGTCTCTTAGCCCCGCCCCTCAATCACTGTAGTGTATCTGAGACTGGGAGAGTTTGGTCCGTGTTGTTCATGTCGAGAAGACGCTGTTTTCTGCTGACAAAGCAAATCCACTTTGATGAGATTGACACGGTAAAACCGACGCCATCGTTACTGTTCCTATCACTGTGATCAAGAGCTGAGATTCAGATATGATAATGAGCGTTTGGTTTCTGACCAATCACAACAGACTGGGTCATCTGACCAATCAGAGCAGAGCAGCTCTCAGAGAGGCGGAGTTTAGAGAGACTGATTCCTTCATGAACCGTTTCAGACACTGTGAGAAAAGAGCTGATGCTGCAATATGTGAGAAAAGTGTTTTTTTGAACATGGATGCATGTAAAAATGATAGGAGACATTCAAAACAAAACTAGGAGCTTTAAAATACCCAAATAGGGGCACCTTTAAAACACAAATTTTGGATTTTAAAGAAAATGTACAAAATATGCTTTAAATTCATTTTTGTCCTCCTCTTGCAGAGGTGCAGTAGTAGTCATCGGTGCCGTCCTGCTGATGGATAGTTCTTCCTGAAGATTGGACTGATAAGTGCAGGGGCGTCTGCTGTCATACTGTGGCTGAAGCTTGTTAGGGCTCAGACCTGAGAGGTCTAAACGCTCCCACTTTCAATTTCCTGCTCCAGTGACCCCTGCTTTCTTCTCTGGGGGTGTGTGTGTGCATCAGACCATCCACCATCTGCTTACTGCTACATATAGATTTACTATTTACGGAAAACTGCACACTATACACTGCCTAGTATTTTTGTTCTTTTAAATGCTACGTGAAACAGCCGGCAATATTTCATGATAAATGATCCAAACGGATATGTTGCTTGTGAGTTGTGTCCATCATCTGGGAAATTAAAACCGTTGTATTTTTGTTATGTTTTGCATATGATGCAGTAGGGAGGGATTGCCTTATTAAAGATAGAGAGATGCAACTACTTTAATAATGTCAGTGATGTAGACTTTTATTCTGAGTCATTGTTGCTTTTATATAATGTGTTGTTCCTCTCCGTTCAGGCAGATTGTTCTGCAGTATTTTCTATGAGCGTACTTGAGCCCAGGTGGTTCATTAACCTTCCCTGACCTCCATGCAGATGTTGCATTGAATATTTACTATAAACAACATGGAATGATACTCAAGACACTCACATAGGATTACATCATCTTCTGGCCCAATGAGTATAAAAAAAAACATACAGTAGGTTAAGTGTAAAACATTAATGACTCCGTTTTCAACTGAAAAGTTCCGGGCATTCATTTACACAGCGTTTTGGGGGCCTGAAAACACACACTTTTGAAAATGGGTTTCAAAACACAAGTTTTTAAATAGATACATTATCGTCTCTGTAAACTACAAAAATGTGCATTTGTGAATACAGTGACGTCATGCTAGCCTGGTTAAAACCAGCCCATTCTCAGTTGTAATTGAGTTATGGTCTGGCAAAGCGTCATAGACAAATCATTTCCAGAGGGGCGTCACCAACGGACGTCGCGGATAGACCTAAACCCAATCAGAGCGATGAAGGAGATGACGTATGCAGAGCGGCGGAGACACATCTCCGAGTGTTGTTCTTTGCTCGGTTTTTAACTAAAAGGAAACGTTCAAATGGCTTAAAACAGACGCGATAGCTGATTGGAACGAGTGATGTTCGACGGCGGCATCCATCTTTGTAATGTAGGCTACAAAATCTGCTTCAAAACCCCAGCGCTGTCGTCATCGTGTAAAGCCCGCCCCAACGTTTCTGATTGGTGCCGCGATTTCGACGGATTGGAAATGGGCTTGAGTGAGCTCTTTGCCAGACTAACTTTCAGAGCAAATCTAAATTTGCCAGAAGTTGTCTGGGTTTTCCCAGGCTAACGTCATGCACATGTGTAGCCTATGACATGTTGAGTCAATAGGCGCTTAGTGTTTCCTTACAAAATGACATCGCCATCTCCTGGCCTGGCAGCAGAATACAGCGTTTTTAGTCGGTTTCATGGATGGGGATCATTTGACTACGTTGTGATCTATATGTGAAAAAAGCAAAGGAAAAACTTTTCGTTGTCATGTAAAACTACACTAAAACATCATAAACATTAATTTGTACAAATATCTATTTATTTTACACATAAAATTGTCCAAACGACAAAAATGCATATTCAAATTTTAAGAAAATGAACATTTGGACATTCTGGAAACAATTAAAATGATCCAAAATTATTTTTATATCTTTTTCTCCCCTCAATTAAGCTCATGTTTCTTTTATCAATTTATATTTCTTATCAACACATGGTACATAAAATCATAATTTTGCACACTGTGCAGAAGGACAGTTAGACTACTAAAACACTTAATAAATAAATATCACTGCAGTAATATAATGCTACTGTCTATAAAAATGATTAATTGCTGCCTCAGTAATTCCACTGTGGTACAGAACCGAAATATGGTATTCATATTTTCTCAATTTACTGTAAAACTATGTTAGATTGCGTTTAAGTTCAAAGGGACGAATTAAACTTCATAATTTACTGTATGAATTTCGTTCTTCTGCTGAACACAAAATTAGTTATTTTGACAGTTGATTGACTTACACAGACTCTACACATAATCCCATTGACAATGTTGTGACCTTATGGATCCATTGAACCAGAAAGGGTTGACATTAAGTCGTGTCCCACATGACCCAGTGGAGGTGGTTCTGTATGTGCAAGTACGAGACACACCGATTTAATGGGTTTCCTGTTCTGAATACTGTCTATACATCATGCATGAGGCATATAGCCTACGCCAGCGAAGCAGAAAGCATTTGCACTTTCAGCGCTTCCTTCATTGCTCATTGTTATCATCCTCAAACATACAGGAACATTAGTTTCACCACCACCGTTTCTTTCTGTATCTCACATTCAAGTGCTTCTGTGGACACTTTTTATCTCTGTCAGCCTGGAAACCCTTTAAACGTAATGACTTTTAAAGACATACAGCAATATTGCAAGATAGAAAAAAAGACAAAGATGTTTCAAAATGTGAAAATACTACAGGCTATAGCATAACCATGTACAGTTCATGTTAAGTCTAAATGACTGGAAATTCTAGCTACTCAGTAACAATAAGTTAAGTCAAAGACTATTAAGCAAATGTAACATAGCATACTTGTTTTTGTCTGACAGTGTTTTTTTGCTAAAATGCCTCTAATAGGTTGTTTAATGCCTAATGTGACAACATGCACCATTATAGGTTAAGTTAAAATCTTTTTTATTCTTTTTTTAAAACCTCTGTTTAGTAGCTTTTTACTCAAGACTTTAAAGTTTGCGTACATACAAGAAACTGGCTTTGAATATTAAGAAATTAGTAAAAGTGTGACAATTAGCACCAGCCACCAACCTTAATAATTGTAATGAAATAATTATTAATATGGTTAATAACATAAAAATGCATTATTATTCAATATAAGTTATATGTAATTATGTGTAATATTAAAAATTGGGTAAACATGACCGAGACAGCCTAAGCGTCCGTGCGCATGCGCGCAGAGAGACACGTGTTCAGTCAGCTGATCTGAGGATGTAAACACTGAGCACGTGTGGCTGATCAATAAGCGCTGGACCTTGATCATTCAGTTAGTTATTAGTTTTGCAGTCTATCTCCTAAACGGCTGTGTGTGTTTGTCCTGCTGCAGACGTTTTAATGGCCCCGTTAAAGTTTTGTGCCAATATTTCCTGGCTCTTCACGGAGTTGCCGGAGTTCACGCAGAGGATGCGCGCCGCGGCGCGTGCGGGGTTCCGAGCGGTCGAGGCGGCGTGGATCTACGACGCGGACCTGAAAGAGTTAAAAACAGTGAAGGATGAAACTGGACTCGAATTTGCGCTCATAAACACCCCCCCGGGTAAGACAGAACACACACAGTGAATGACAGACAGATTGCAGATAGATAGATAGATAGATAGATAGATAGATAGATAGATAGATAGATAGATAGATAGATAGATAGATAGATAGATAGATAGACAGATAGACAGACAGACAGACAGACAGACAAATACAGATGATAGATAGGTAGACAGAGAAAGAGAGAAATACAGGTGATAGACAGAGAAAGAGAGAATGACAGATCATAGACAGTCAGAGATAGATAGAGAGTCAGTCAGAGAAAGAAAGACAGATGAAAAATAGACGACAGACAGATAGATAGTCAGATAGATATATTCTTTATGAAAGCGATGTGTGAAACTGTAATTGCAGTGATATAATGAGAGTGTTCTCTCACCTGTCAGCTCACAGTTAAAGGTCTCTGAAGGGTGTTTATCAACGACAGGAATAGAATAACTTTCAGTTCATCGGTCACAGACATAATGGTGCTTCATATGCAGATAAAACTGCTTAATGGATTAGATCTGACCTTTCTCAACTCACGGGGGAAGCGTGAACCCGTTACACTGATCTGATGCAATTCTGCTCTGATGTAAGACTTGTTGCACCGCACATTTAACACTATTGAAATCCCTCTTCGTTTTCTTAGTTCAGCTTTAAAAAACACAGACCTCATTCAAACTGTGTTGTGGCAAGTTTCAGTCTTAGGTGTGCTGTCCATCATCAGGTTTTAACTTCTATATCCTCCACCCTTTTGTGCATCGAAGTGACGAGGGCTATGTGTCCAGGAATCAAATTCAATCCGTAAATACAGTCATAAAGGAAACTTAGAAAATGTATATTGGAAAGATATGCTGCAAACCTTTCTGGATGGTTTATCTCCCTGAAATGTCATACTGACTCTTATGTGTTATTTGTTGTGTCACTTTGTCCTGCAGGAGATTTAAATGCAGGAGATTTGGGATTGTGTGCTGTTCCCGGGAGAGAGCAGGAGTTCAGGCAAGGTTTGGCTCTGGCGGTGCGGTTCGCTAAAGCACTAGACTGCAGAAGGTACTGGTGCGAGTCTTACACTGGGCTGGTGTTTGATATGCATGAAGAGCAGGGTTTTAGTCCAACAGAGTGCTGTGAGGATGACACATTTCCCAGAAATTAGTTTTAGCATTTTAGCACTTCTGGTTGCATTGTCCTGAAGTCATCGGCTGCATCCAAAATCACATACTTGCCTACTATACAGTAGGCGAAAACCAGTATGTGACAAAATAAGTATGTCTGAATTCACAGTCCTCATTAAACAGTAAGCAAAATGTTCCCGGATGATCTTCTACTTCCGGTGAGATTCTGAAGTGTGCGTATGATGGACACTTTACTATCCCATGAGGCCACAGGAGAGGATTTGTGAATGCCAGTGAAGCGACGCGACTGATGCTGGTAGGTCACATGATGATGTAAGAAATTGTAGTCTGCCTCGACCCAGATTCCACTCAAATATATATTTTAGAATGAGCTCATCCCCAAAATGGCTTAAAGGGTTAGTTCACCCAAAAATGTAAATGATGTCATTAATGACTCTCCCTCGTGTCGCTCCAAGCCCGTCAGACCTCCGTTCATCTTCGGGACACAGTTTAAGATATTTTAGATTTAGTCCAAGAGCTTTCTGTCCCTCCATTGTAAATGTATGTACGGTATACTGTCCTTGTCCAGAAAGGAAATAAAGACATCATCAAAGTAGTCCATGTGACATCAGTGGGTTAGTTAGAGTGTGTTGAAGCATCGAAAATACATTTTGGTCCAAAAACACACACCAGACACACGTCAGCAGCGTCTTACGTCAGCAGCGGCACTGAACGCGGATCCACAACAGAACCGGAAGACAATACAATGCTGAATAAAGTCCTAGTTTTTGTTATTTTTGGACCAAAATGTATTTTCGATGCTTCAACACACTCTAACTAACCCACTGATGTCACATGGACTACTTTGATGATGTCTTTATTTCCTTTCTGGACAAGGACAGTATACCGTACATACATTTACAATGGAGGGACAGAAAGCTCTCGGACTAAATCTAAAATATCTTAAACTGTGTCCTGAAGATGAACGGAGGTCTGACGGGCTTGGAGCGACACGAGGGAGAGTCATTAATGACATCATTTTCATTTTTGGGTGAACTAACCCTTTAATTATAGAGATGAAAAAAAGTCAAGTTGTATTTTTTAAAGAATACTGGGGGTTGATCACATACTGAGTAAATGGCAGTCAATTGTAGAATGGGACTGGGTGTGGGACACAGAGAACCTTCTTCTCAGACAGTGGTGTCTCAACTTCATTAGCATACAGAACACAGCTGTTGCAACAAGAGCAACTGTAATAATTACATTAAGACCAGGACAAAGGGTTTGAGATTTCGATGTTCTGGGTTCATTCTGACGCCGGCGAACCCGAGGTGCTTCGTGTACCTTGCCACTGCTATGCTGTAATAAACTTCATTTTTGAGATCTTCGACGTCCACATCATTTTTTCTTACAATGATGACAACATGGTACGTCCAGATTACATTCATACTACACACACTCATACCATACTACACACACTCATACCATACTACACACACTCATACCATACTACACACACTCATACCAACACTCATACCATACTACACACACTCATACCATACTACACACACTCATACCATACTACACACATCATACCAAACTACACACACTCATACCATATAGAACATTCTTTTTCAGCGGGTGTGAAGAAATTACTTATTCAGAACAAATGTACTCAAGAGTGTATGAGTCTGTGATTTCAGACGCAGTGTTTTTGAATGTTTTTTTTGGTTAAGTGCCTGTAATAAGCGAAGCACTGAAAAGTGAAGCCGAAGCATTTCGCTGGTTCCAGCATAGGTCATAAACCCGCCTTTTCTATTTAATCGAACAGGACACTAGCCTGGGAAAACCCAGACAACTTCCGGCAAATTTAGATTTGCTCTGAAAGTTAGTCTGGCAAAGAGCTCATTCAAGCCCATTTCCAATCCGTCGAAATCGCGGCACCAATCAGAAACGTTGGGGCGGGCTTTACACGATGACGACAGCGCTGGGATTTTGAAGCAGATTTTGTAGCCTACATTACAAAGATGGATGCCGCCGTCGAACATCACTCGTTCCAATCAGCTATCGTGTCTGTTTTAAGCCATTTGAACGTTTCCTTTTAGTTAAAAACCGAGCAAAGAACAACACTCGGAGATGTGTCTCCGCCGCTCTGCATACGTCATCTCCTTCATCGCTCTGATTGGGTTTAGGTCTATCCGCGACGTCCGTTGGTGACGCCCCTCTGGAAATGATTTGTCTATGACGCTTTGCCAGACCATAACTCAGTTACAACTGAGAATGCTCTGGTTTTAACCAGGCTAACGGGACACGAGCCAAACTAAAAAAAAATCCAATTACACTTGAAATAATTTTTTCCCAAAGGTGGCTTCCGTCATTTTATTTATATCACACAGATGCATGTTCAACAGTTTTTTGGGGTGGTTTAGTCAGTTATTAGATGCTATAAAAACAGGGTGTAAAGTCATGATTGACAGCTGTCTGTGTGAGCGTGAGCTTGATGCCGTACGTAATGAAGGAACTGCCGCAAGATGTCAACGGGATATTTTGGCTTGATAGTGGAGACACGTCTATGGCCCGAAATAAGCCTTGTGGTTAACACAAGCTCACGATTTTTTCATATTTTATTCTATGACGTAATTTGATTTTTAAGTCTTTTACTTGTCTTGAAAAAGGTGTCTAAATGAGACTAGAGGTTGTCGGAGATACGAATCTACTCACCAGTGTATAGTCGCTGCTCTTGCAAACTATTCTACCTCAAAATGTTTTTTTTTTATAAATGAAACTGAAGCTTAGTAAGGGTGATGTTGAACTCATGTGACTGTAGTTTCTTTATAGCATACGTTTAGCTTTTTACTTCTCTCTGTATTTAGGCTTTATAATTAATTGCGTTGTTCATTTGTGAGGATTATCATGATGAACTTCTGGGTTTGCCTGCAAAAATACGTCATCACTCCAGCACTCTATGGCAATATAACCAATACAAACACTGAACAAAATGAAGTGTGGGATTTACACGGAAGAGATCACTTTTATTGCTTGTTGCTCGGTGTCTGGTTAGGACACAAATTGCCTAATGTAACTATAACAGGGATGCATTGTTTCAATGACCTGATTTATATTCACAGTGAAGCGCTCAAAGTTCCCTTCACATTATGCAAAGCCTCGCTCAATGCGCACTGAAGCTGAGAGAATGGGAAGCAGAACTTAAGCGTCTAGACACAAAGGTTCACGCTGTTCCTCACTAAAATAGATTGAGATCATCTGAAATCATCTCTGCCCCAGACCTCCAAACGTCTTATCTAACACATTCACATCCTCCACGGGAACCCGGAGCAGAGGCGATCCGCTTTTACCGAGAGTAACTCGTGCTAATGTTTCTCTCCAGGGTCCACCTGATGGCTGGGAGGGTTCCTGCGGGGGCCGAGCGATCTGCCGTCGCCATGGAGATGGAGGACACGTTTGTGCAGAACCTGAAACACGCAGCAGGTGTCCTCTCACAGGTGACCTCTGACCCCTTCACTGCATCCTGAGTCACATGGTAGAGGACCAGCGTGTGTTTATACGTAGGAGATTCTCTGTGAAGTTTTCTTTAGTCTCTACATTTCCGAATGACAACTGTGGTTTGGCTGTAGTTTTTGATAGAGTAAAGGGTTAATTCCTTTTACATGCTCAAGCTGTCAATCAATCATAGTAGCTTGTAAAAGCAAGAAATAGTAAAGCCTAAGCTAAGACCAGGGATGCACGATATATCGGCCACCGTATCGGTATCGGACGATATATGTTCATTTTCAAAGTTATCAGCCCCGATAAGAAAAGTTGGCCGATATATTAAAGCCGATAAATAACAGATTATTTCCTTCAGCTGAGAGACTTCAGATGCGCACTGTTCACCATTATGGTTCTGAATTGCTTGAAATATGATTGGAAACATTTAAAAAAAGGAAAATACAGTAAAGTGCAACATGCAAGTCTGTAATATCGGCTACATAAAAATTGAATGAGAACATCATTATTTAATTGTTGTGCTTGGTCATGGATTTTAATGGTGAGACTTTTGTTTTTGTAATCAGACTCTCAAAAATTAAATAAAAATGTGGGTTTTGATTTATCAGCCAATATATCTGTTATCACCTTTCAAATATAAAAAATTATCGGTTATCGGTCATGATTTTCATATCGGTGCATGCCTGGCTAAGACTGCTTATTTAATCAGTAATCACTACTAATTTATTCAAATATAACTAAATTAATTTATGCTTATTTATGCAACAATTGCGTTTAGTCGTCTGTCTTTATGTTCTAATTCAATACAATTTTCATTTCTTTCTTTTTACATTCCATTCCATAGACGCAATATTTGTCTTTTAGAATAAAAAAAAACTTTTGTTCAGCAAGGAGACATCGAATTAATCGAAAGTGACAGTAAAGACGTTTATAATGTTACAAAAGATTCCGTTTAAAATAAATGCCCTTCGTTTGAAAAATGAGGCAGCAAAACTGTTTTCAACTTTGATAATAATCATAAATGTTTCTTGAGTATCAAATAATAATGATTTCTGAAGGATCATGTGACTGGAGACTGGAGTAATGATGCTTTGGCTAAGCCCCGCCCCCCTTAGTTACTGTCGCTATGTCCGTCAAGCTACGCCGCTCTCACGCACACACCATGTTCTCAAGCAGTGAAAAATACATCGCGGAGCAGAGAGGAGACTGACAACAGGCTGACAGACCAGGTTACTTTTCGGTTACTTTTGATATTAAACATATTAAACAAAGTCTCACCTTTCAAATTTGGTCATTTTTAAAAAGAAATTTAAACAATAATGTTGGACTGTGGCAACACGGTTGGCGGTAACGTTAGTCACCATCAAAACTACCACAGCGTGTCTGTAACATTAACGTTAGGTGTTCGTATCTTGAATAACAAAGTTAGCTAACATCCAGCCGCTACTCAAAACAAACAATCCTGACTTACGTTAACGTTACGTGATAACTAAACTATCGCTAAGCTTGCTTGCTAGCACCTTTCTTCATTAATTAGGGTAACGTTAGAGAACCGAAATCATAACCTAACAGCATAACACTGTCTAACTAGTATAACTTCACATTAAGGTTAAAAGCAACATTTACTTTAGAGCACACGAGTGAGCTTGTTGAGGGGTTTAACGTAGCTGACTGTGAGGACGTCCACACAGTTTAATCCAAAGACGACACTTGTCAGGATTTGACTTCGGTTTTGGGAAGGAAAAAAACGGACACCCCCCTCCAACCTCTCTGGGAAACGCGTATCTGTGTTACAAATGCCCCAGGCACAACGTTTAACCATATTTTTGATAAAACTACGACGGTAATAGCCTGCCGAGACCCAAAATATGAGACGCCTGTGTTAAAGTCAATGGAGCGCTGTGAAAAAGTGTCGGACGTCTGTGGGAGCGCGTTCTTGGCTGCGCTGTGATTGGTCAATCTACATTCTAGGGTGTGGCTTAGCCAAAGGCGAATTCAGCTTTGATCACAGGAATAAATATAATTTTAAGATATATTAAATGGGAAAACATCAGCTGTCTCTCGTTATCTTGTTGTTCTTTACTGTACAGGAAGGCATGCTTGGACTGATTGAGCCAATCAACACCAGGATAACAGATCCACGATACTTCCTCCACTCCCCACACCAGGGTAAGACATTTCTTTCCCCATGGATGATTGTGTATTTGGATTCCAGATTGTTTACGCGTGTGTTTTTGTCCCGTAGCCGCAGGGATTCTCCAGAGAGTCGGTCATCCCAGCATCAGGATGCAGATGGTGAGCGAACACACTTTCTGCAAAGCCTTTTAGTTCTTCCCTGAAGTCAAGGGTTTTATTTCATCATTATTCATGCAGCTTTTGCAATCTTAAATTAATCGAGAGACATCAAATAGTTGTACTTTTTTCAGGATTATTGAAAAGGAAAACGACTGAAGGTGATTCTAAACGTTGAAGTGACTTGACAAACCTGGTCTTATATATTCATAATTTTAACTGTTATTATTTTATTTTTATGTTTCAACCCTCTAGAAAAGATGGAAGCTTGTATTCACCACAGAATATAAACGTAGAATTGTGAGATTTAGGGTACATTTACACAACAGCAATGTACTAAAAACTGAAACGTTTTTTTCTTTGCCGTTTTTCATGTATAGACGACAACATTGCCGAAATGATCCCGTTCACACGGATCAGTGGAAACGACTAAAAACGCTGTATTCTGCCAGGCCAGTAGATGGCGATGTCACTTTGTAAAGAAACATTACGCGCCTATAGAGAGCCCAAGTCCCTCCCCTTCCGGTCGACCACCATGGGACCTTATTTCGGAAAAATATTGTATGGTAGTCAATGGCGAGAGACAACAAATATTTTGATCTCGTTTGAATTGTGCCCTGAATTACACATATGATGTTTGTCAATTTAAAAGATACATTTTTTAGTCAAGAAAGTCGCAGTTTGATGTAAAACTGTTGAGGTATAAGACTGTGAAAATACGTAATTACAAAGACTACAAACCCCAAAGGCGCACATTTTCTCTCAATGAATGAAGCTAACTTTACTGAAGCTAACTTTACTGAAGCTAACTTTACTGAAGCTAAAGCTAACTTTACTGAAGCTAACATTACTGAAGCTAAAGCTAACTTTACTGAAGATAACATTACTGAAGCTAACTTTACTGAAGCTAACATTACTGAAGCTAACTTTACTGAAGCTAAAGCTAACTTTACTGAAGCTAAAGCTAACTTTACTGAAGCTAACTTTACTGAAGCTAACTTTACTGAAGCTAACATTACTGAAGCTAACTTTACTGAAGCTAAAGCTAACTTTACTGAAGCTAAAGCTAACTTTACTGAAGCTAACTTTACTGAAGCTAACATTACTGAAGCTAACTTTACTGAAGCTAAAGCTAACTTTACTGAAGCTAAAGCTAACTTTACTGAAGCTAACTTTACTGAAGCTAAAGCTAACTTAACTGAAGCTAAAGCTAACTTTACTGAAGCTAACGTCTGTCATTGTTTCTATAGTCTTACGTTATAATCGTAACGTTACGCCGTCATGCCTGAGTGTTTTTGTACCAGACTGCACTTACTCTTCTGTTTTATGACAAACTTTCTTGACTTTCAGAGTTATCTTTTAAATTGACAAACACCATATGTGTAATTCAGGGCACAGTTCAGACAGAATAAAAAGATAAGTTGTCTCTCGCCATTGACTACCATACATATATTTTTTCCGAAATAAGGTCCCATGAGCCGGAAGCGGAGGAGAGGGACTTCTATAGACATGTGCATGACGTCACTGTTTTCATAAATTCACGTTTTTGTAGTTTACACAGAGACATAACGGTATCTCTTCAAAAACTTGCACTTTGAAACCGTTTTCAAAAGTTTGTGTTTTCAGGTTCCTAAACACCATCGTTAATTAATATTATTCAGTACTTGAGTACAATGTAACTACGTCACCTTCAAATAAAGTTTAACCAAAGTTTAAGTTGAAAACGGTGTTGTGTAACAGGACCCTAACATGCAATTGTGAGAAAAAAAGTAATATTTGTGAGATAAAAAGTCATTACCTTTTTTATGCCGTGGTGAAAACAAGCTTCCATAAGAAACCGCATTGCAATCCACTATAAAACCCCCCACAAAAACCCCCAGCAACCACATAGTGGAAACACTCACGTTTTCTGTTAGAATCCAGTTATCTGCTCTTTCATCCTGTTGTGTTCGGCGTTTGAACTTAATTTGTGTCGTGTTTGTAGCAGCGGTGAGAAACGAGCGTCATGTGAAGTCGTTTTCACTGCACACGCGGATAATAAAATCACTTTCAGCGCTCTTTGAATAAATCATAAGAGGGGAGTTTGTGGAGGGACACTGGTGCATTAGGCAGATGCTGTGCTTGTTTCCAGACGGAGGAGGAGTGTTTCAGAAAACACAGTGAAGATGATCAACCGCAGAACACAAGCAGATGTGTGACTTCAGATTCTCTCCTTTTGCAGGACCTCTACCACTGGCAGATCATGGATGGAAACTTAACGCAAAATATACGCAAATACTTACCAATGACAGGTAAATGTGGGACTCTTTAAGTCAGCATGAAATTAGAACTTATCTTACACTCTTAAAGCCAATTCACAGCGAACACACAGTCACCAGTCACATGACACTTCTCAGAAAACAAGCTCTGACGGATGCTAACGGACAGGGGTAACACCAGTTTTGGGTGTAATGCATATCTAAGTAACTAATTAGTCATTTAACTACTTTTCCCTTGAAAAAGTAAGGGATTACTCTAATTGTTTTCTGTCATTTAATTACAGTTAAATCTGATGCAATTGCATTACCGTAAACACTTTATAGACTATTGAACAATTATATATCAAACGATTAAAATGTATATTTCTTTATATGGAAAATAATAATTTTAAGAATAATTTATGCAATTTTATATAGAACAGTTTCATGTCTATCCTTGGATTGTTCAACTGGTTGAGGTTTTGAGATTTAGAAAGTAATAAGTAATGTAATACTTTTAAGAGAGAACAGTAATCTAATTACACTGTTGAAGATGTAATTAGTAGCTAGTAATGAATTACCTTTTTAAAGTAATGTACCCAACACTGGGTGACACACTAATCCCACAAAACTTGACTAAGTGTCTGTCAGCGCGGTGTGAACTGGCCTTTAAAAATAAATGTTCTCTATTGGCATTGATGGTTCTATGAAGACCCTTTAACATCCATGGAACATATTCAATGCACAAAAGCATCTTTATAGTGGAAAAGCTTCTTTATATATATATATATTTTAAATGTTCTGCAAAGTAATAAAAAAAGGTTATTTTAAGAGTGGATCACTCAAAGGTTCTTTGTGGAACCGAACATGATTCCTCTGTGGCACTGCTGCAAAACCTCCTTTTGGAAACTTTATTTTAATATCTGTTCCTGGTTTTAATGTAAGAAAGTTACATAAATCGTGCAGTCTTATGAATCATACTAATGTGTCAGTCATTTCTACATCAGTGTTATTTTAGTATCATACCATTATGTTTATGTAAATATTTTGAATTAATTTTATTTGAATATTTTCTGTTTTCATTTTAAGCTTGGCGAAAGTTTTTGTAAATTTGTTGTGCGTGTTAGACATTTTAAAGTTTTAGTTTATTTCAAGAAATGTAATTTTTGATGGTAATAGTTTGAGCTTTAGTTAACGACAAGAACCCTGCTCTAGGAAGATCTGTCAATGCACTCGTCACATGTTTCTCGCGGTCACAGGCCACATCCAGATCGCTCAAGTTCCCGACCGGCACGAGCCGGACAGCGCTGGAGAGATCAGCTTCTCGTTCCTCTTTAAACTGCTGGAGGAGCTGGACTATCAGGAGTACATCGGCTGCGAATACAAACCTCGGGGTGAGTGAAGGAAAGCACGCTTTATGAGCTTTAAAATGGCTCTTGTTTTTATTATTAATGTTACAGGATGAAACCTCCATGAATTTTTAAGATGAAAATAATGTTGCACAAAAAGAGCTTAAGAGATATTTTCTTATACTGTACATGATTAACCAAAAAGGCTAACTTGCATTCATATCCTATCCTCAAAACTTTAAGTTGCAAAGAGAGTGAAATATGATTCTTGGTAATTCATATTTGTAAATGTGATTCTCCAGGTTCCACGGAAGCGGGTCTGGACTGGGTCAAAAGATACTGGAACGATCACAACTGAGGACCAATTTAACTTCTTAAATTCATGCATTTTCTAAAAGGGCACCATGTATTAAAATGCCAAGACTGTCATTTTCCACAGCTTAAAACGGACTCCCATGTTCAATCGTTTTATGCATATTTCACTTGTGCGAGGCTGTCTATGAAATAGCACTGGACATAAAGAACACGTGTTTTAATTTAAGATTTATTGTCAAGCGTTTTTTCTTACAAACCAGCCTCTATTTACATAATGTACAAATTTCAGTTTCAGACATTTGAATTGCTAATTAACATTCTAGCGTTTTAAATAAATCAATCTTCCAAAAATTTCCAGTGTCCTTCAAGAAAACAAAACAGTAAAACACATTATTCTTCAGTTTTTGTCACTATGGGAGTTACATTTGGTTTCGTGTCAAAGGTTTCCCACGATCTTCGCGCATCTAGTGTCGTCTGGTTAGTAGGAGTACTCGTTACGCCGCCCATGATGATGAATGTACAGGAAGAGCATGCAACGATTCAAGAGGTTCTTCTTGAGAGGTAAATATGATACACAAGCTCCCATCAACTTCATAAGATAAAACAAAGGCATAAAGGCACTTTTGGGATGATGAAATGGCAGTAAAGACAACTATGTTGCAGAAAGTGATGCATTATGGGGCACAAAACTATCCAACCTGCAGCAACAGCTGTTTCTCGAGGAGCGCGGATGAAACCTTCAGACTTTGCGTAAGCCGAATCGAATGCGCACAGGCTTCAGAGACATCATCAACAGCTGAGAGGAGGTGGAGAATAAACAGCACAAATGAACACTCAGACTACAGGAGGACAGCATGGCTTTGACAAACCAGTGCAGTCTCACACACCACCACATCCCTCCCAGTTAACCGCACTTACATCAACAGGGCAGTTATCCTGTGCAAAATGATGGCAATTTAATTGCTTAGATGGATGCAACCTGTTCGACGCAGCACGCATACACACACGAGATGCATTGAGTGTGTGTCTCAATGCTGAATCTGAGACTGAAAGAAACACACGCTCACAGCAGGCCTGTCCAGAGGTTGAAGCACGCGGTGTTGATGACCGACTCCAGATGGTGGTACATGGAGACCAGCTGTGGTGGAGGACTGCTGCTCGGCTGACTCTGAGCGGGCAGCGGCTCTCTGAACACAACCTTCAGACTCTACAGAAGACGACAACGACAGGGTGAGACACTGGGATCAGGTTTGACATGTCACATTTCGCCCCCTCCCCCCATAAAAAACACACAGATTGCAGCTTATTTAAAGGATCATTTTGGAATAATGACATTTCATTTACTTTCATGCAAATAAAAGCACACTATAATGGAAAAATAAAGCTTTTTTTTTAGCATGAAACCTATAATGTATGCATCATAATAGTATTTGTTGTACTGCTTTTAAATAATTATTACAAATAAATATATTACAATACTTCATTGTAATATTGTCAAGACTCTCACTGCATCGCAATGATGAGAATCATCATTAAGAATGAATGATAATTACGAAAAACAATGCATTATGGTAATGATATTGTAATTTTAGGAGAAAAAGAAAGTTTCAATTTTCTCTACTGAATATATATATATATTTTTGTGTGAAATGTTACCTGAAACTATTTTTGTTAGAATTCACTCAGGGTAAGAATAAACTAATTATAACATTACACATAACATAACATTATAATATAATATATAAAAAATAAAATAAAACAAAACTCACAGTTTTTCCTGCCTGTGTGTCCAGAAAGACGAGCACAAAACAGTCAGTGAACTTCTGGTTCAGGACAGCCTGGAAGAGAGAGTTTAGATGAGATGTTTCTTTTCATTTTTAAATTTAACCTTCTTCACAATCCATTTAACTTGGATTGGTGTTCAGCATTTGGAAACAGCGTTAACATGGTTTCTGTTTGTATGGAGGGTGAAATGATCATCTGTTCAGGAAATCTACATAAACACACATCATCTCTGATTACAGGATGAAGCATGAAGTGCGTCTGATGAGCTCTTGAGTGTTCGCTCACAGGCACTGGAGGTCTCATAATGTACCACGGTTTACCACGCGCTTCATTGGCTTTGAGTAACTGAGTTCAATGCCCTTCCAGGACAATAATGATTTAAGAGCACTTCTTGTCTTGTAACGTACCATGACATGTCCAACGTGACCTCTGCTAACATCTCACACAGGCACATGACCCGACTGTACAGCCGGAGCGCCAGGCTCATGTGCAATGCTGAACACTAACAGTGATGATCTGGACGGTGCATATAAAAAAAGACTTGTTTCTACTAATCTTGCTCTTATATTCATCACAAAAATCAGTTTCCACAAAAGTGTGAAGCAGCACAACTGTTTTCAACATTGATAATAATCAGAAATGTTTCTTGAGCAGATAATCATCATATTAGAGTGATTTCTGAAGGATCATGTGACACTGACGACTGGAGTAATGATGCTGAAAATTCACTTTTACAGGAACATCACAGGAATAAATTATATTTTACGATATATTACCATAGAAAACAGCTATTTTTAATTGTAACAATATTTTACAATATTACTGTTTTACTGTAATTTTGTTCAAATAAATGCAGCCTTATTGAGAATAAAAGACTTGGGGCCAGATTTACTAACAGCTTACTAACCCTCCTTAGGCGTTAAAAAACTACTGTCAGGATTTATCAAAGACACGCAGTGAAAAATTAGCACTGAAAAGACGCGGACAGGGTTATTTTTGCGGCTGACCTTGCATATGCATTTATGGTGCGTTCACGTGCTATGGAAAATATGATATTTTCCACTTGTGAACTGGTCCAGTGTGTTGCGTTCAAGTGCTTTTGTTGTCGTAATGTGGTAAAAAGATGGAGATCCAGACCTGTTATTTAGCTAAAGCTATTTTAGATTGCTTAAGTCATCTGCTACAGCAAGAAGATGATTTATTAAACCTCAAACGGTAAATTAATATGCTGTATATTTTCTAGATCATGAATAGAACATATTTTTTACCATTCGCGTTGCTCTCCGCCATTTTGAAAAGGTCAAAGGTTATCATCTCTGCAACTCGTGCATCAAAATATTCTACAAGCTGCCCAGTGGAAAATACCACATGAGGGGGTGTTCATGTGCATTTTCCACGTCGGCTTTTAGTATTTACCATAATTACTAGGGGTGTAACGATATTCGAACCGAACCGAAAAACCGCGATACAGAACACACGATTCGAATCGCGATACTCTCATTGCGTACCGAACACGCCCCTCCCCGCCCCCTGCTACCCCGGCTCAATGGACCTCATGTCTTGTGTACAGTACACAACAAATTCAGTTTTGTAGCCTAATAACCACCATTAACACCAAATAACAAGCTCCGTGTTTTGTTACTTTCGATAATAAGCAAGGTGTAATCTTTCAAATTCTGTCTATTTGATCACGAAATTCAAACAATAAATAGCGTTTTGGCGCTCTTTGATGTGGCGTGACAGATCGCTGTAGGCCTACTAAGCTCCTCATTTCAAGCGGCAGCGCGGCGCGCGGGTAAACGCGATCATCTCTTCCTCAGTTACAGAATGGACACCTGAAGGTATGTTGAAAGATGCAGTATACTTACTGAAAGGCATCATAACTCGTGTAATCGCTCAATCAGTGTTTCAGCAGCGGAAAGACGTCAATAAAACAGCATAGCTTGTCACTAGCATTATATTTACCTCAACAGCCAAGTGATTCAGTGTCCACAACTTTGGTTCCTATAAATGAACTCTTGCACTAAATAAATGCACCATGTTAGCCTATATATTATATTTTACTTAACCTGTTAATGATATCTTGATTATTTAATGTATGTTTAAAATATCTTTCATGAAAATGAAAACTGTGTAAATTATTATATTTCAATAACAAAATAGAGTAAAAACACAAGTTAATGCAAAAACTGCCTTATGTTCAGTTTACATGTTTTCATACAATGTGTTGTGTGTTGATTATTATATCTAAAAAATAAATAGCATCTGAATTTAGGTTAAAAGTCTAGGCTACAACCTTTAATGTTATAGTAATGTGCGGCTCCCTATATAGTTTACAGATTTAGCAGATTTTTTTTAATCCTTGTGAAACGTTTAATTGTAATTGAATTAATTTAAAGAAAGACCATTTTTTCGTTAAACCACTGTTTAAAAAAAAGAAAAAAAAAGAAGCAATTTTAGCTTTCTAAACCGAACCGAACCGAACCGAGACGTCAAAACCGTGGGAAAACCGAACCGTCAATTTTGTGTATCGTTACACCCCTAATAATTACCATAGCACGTGAACGCACCTTCAGTCCGCGTGTCCACCGAAGCGTTTTTCCACCCGCCTGGCGTATGTTTTCAATTGTTTTCAATGGGAGCACCGCGTTTTTTAAACGCCATGAGCGTAACGAGGCGATGAGCGTTTTTTTTCACGCTGGACCGCCGGGCGTTTTTTTACCGGTCGACGAGAGTTGAAAAATGTTCAACTTTGGATAAAACGCAGCGCTCATCACTGTCACTTTTTACCCAGCCGTCCAAGCCAGTGTTGCCAACTATTTTTAAAGGAAAGTAGCTAAGGTCTTCCCTAAAAGTCGCTAAATGTCGCTAGATGACGTCATATGTCAATTAGCATATTAATGAAGTCATCGCGTCGTACTTGCGTTCTGTCAGCCTAGTGCGTTTTCTCTCTAAATGAATGCTCTATTTAATATAATATAGCCGAATGTCAAATAAAGCTGTTCTCATTTCCTATTTTTTGTTGTTGTCAGACCATAGAACGAGTAGCTATAATATAGTGATTGATTACATTTTGTATAGGCCTATGTGGAACATTATCTGAATTGAGAGAGTTAGGGAACCGGATGAACTAAGCTCTGTGATAGTGAGTGTTACAAGTAATAAGCACAAGAAAAGAAATAAAATGAAAATGGTCAAACTGAATTCTTTAAATATAAAACAAAAGAAATGCAGATAAGTGATAAGTCCGTGGAAAAACACTTCTCATTCGCGTCTGTCAGCGGCCGTGCGCTCCTCTCAGCCATTCACTGAACAGGGGAGACGCAGCTAGAGAGAAAGCAAGACCTCGCGCTCGCAGGACAGTGCTGGCAAGATTTGGAGGTTACTGAGGTTTGTCCAAAAAGTCGCTAAAATTGTCGCTAGTCGCTTTTTTGAAAAAATGTCGCTAAAGGGGTCTAAAAAGTTGCTAAAAATAGCGACAAAGGCGCTAAGTTGGCAACACTGGTCCAAGGTGGAGGAGGGGCGGGACTAACACCACACCGACCAACTGTCACAACATTCTTTCTGTACAAAGACATCAACCAGCAGAGCTAACCGAACAAAATGGATGAAAAATAATTTTTTAGTATGAAACAAATTATCTGCAAAATCAGTTACAAGTAAACTGTGCTGCGGATATTCTGTATCATAGCAACGAAACGTCTCAACGGAAAAAAACGCTGCGCTGCCAAAACGCTCTCAAGCGCCCACAGCTAGGCGTTTTCAGCTGGCTAACAACGCTTTGGTGGACACACGGCCTTATAGGAGTTTCGCTTTCAAATGCAATATTTATGAGAGGAAAGCGTTTAAATGAATCATGCAAGGTGATTTACTAAGGTTTGCGCTCGTCAGGGTTCTCTAGTTTTATCAAAAGCTTGGAGTGAGATCACATGCGGTTAGGGGAGGAGCCTAAATAGAGCCCCGCCCCCAATTTTACCCATTGTTCATAATTAACCAGCAAAAATTTAAATTATAACAATTGGTAAATCTGATAAATGACAGAGCAATTCATCACATCAAATATAGGCCTACTCTTTAATGTTATATTTCAAAATTAGGCTACAAATGTATAACAAATTGCTCCAAAATGTTTGGAAAAACAAATATTTTTGCATTTTTTCCCTGACATCTTTGAAAAATACAAATGCAATGGCAATGATTAGGCTAATGTATGTTTTGACAGGATATACAATATTACCAAGAGCACTCTGCTTTAGCCTTAATGTAACTAGAAATACTATTAATACAGTATAATATAGAATTCAAAATAAACTGAAGAAATACATCTTCATTCCTTCCCATACCCAATAACATTTCCTTAGCCAAACTGAGCCAAAGCTTTTGGCCTGGTTGCAAAGCAGTTGTAGAGTTTTTGACTGCATCAATAATGTATATACGATGAGCTATATATTAAATGTTCTAGAACTTCTAGTCTAAAAATGTTAGGCGAGCTTTCTTCCAACTTACTTTCTCCATCACGACGTGTGTTCGCGCGATGTCGCGGTGGCCGAACTTCCGTGTGTGTTCGCGGACTTCGCGCGTCTATAAGTTGCCTAGTAACGAACGCAATCTGGCCGAGATGCGGACGCGCTGGCGGCAGGAAACTTATCTTTGTGTGCATGCGCCTCGTATACAACGTTATATATAAAGCTTGCAGGACAACTTGGTTGGCATTGCCTTTTCAGCGTGAGAAATACACGGTGTGGCGTGTGAGCGTGTGAACTGGTTGAATTGCGTGTGTCTCACGGCCAATGCGTGAGACTTGAGAACCCTGGCGCTCGTCAATTTACTGGTATTTGCGCCATTATTTACCAAAAGCATGTTTTAACCAGATGGTAATATGCGCTGCTCTTGGTAGATTGTGTTGGTCATTATGGAAATGATCCGCTGCGTCTGTTCTTTCATTTGTGTGTCGTCAGTAGATCACACACTGAACTTTAAAACTTTACACTCCCATCTGTGTTTTGTTCTCATGATAATTTGCCCTGTTTAGTAAATCTGGCTCTAAATGTCTCGTCCCCTGGTAAGTGTGTGCATCTCTTACCAGGTACTGAATGCCACTGTCGTCTTTAAAGTGTCTGCAGTTTTGTGAGAAGCGTGACAGCAGAACTTTGATGAGACTCTGGTACCAGGCGGGACTCATATTCAGGAAACAGTCCTAAAAAACAAAATCACAAGAAATGTTTTTGAAACAACATGAGGGTGAGAAAATTGTGAGAGAATTCTTATTTTACATTTTTATCAAGATTATTCCTTTTTTTTTTTGCATAGATAAAAAACCTAGCAAACAGACCACTATTCTAATGGTAAAATTTTTGTTCATATGTATGCTCTAAATGTATATGTTTGATAGGTGATTTGATATACATTTTTATATATCTATGTAAAAAAAAAAAAAATAATCTCGACAAAAGTGCATATATATGTATATAGTTTGCGCTGTTTTGTATTATACGCATACATATGCATATTACCGTTTCATTTATGTTGCATAATAAAATCGATGTGTACATTTTAAACTTAAACTAAAAAGTTGTGGAAAAACAGATGCCTGTTTGAAAAGCCTTTGGGGTCCTGAAAGACTGGACCAGAATATTTCCCTTGAAATTAGACGAGTCTGTGGATATTTTTCACATTAGACTTCATACAGGATCTGACTGCGAAAGCTGCAAACGCTTCAAGTAAGCAAAACCACAGGAAGGCAGTTTTCACATGCTGGTTGTGGGCGGCAGTGCATTTTTAAAAATATGTAATTTGCAGCAACTTTCTCCTGGTCTGATATCACAGTGGGAGTACATCTCTACTTCCTTTGTGAGCCTGTATCGGTTTGACAGCGGTATACATCATCCGAGCGCTACGATTAGCATTAGCAGTCGCGGCACAGGAGCCGCTCGGCTCAGTAACATTGACTAAGCGGTTCTGCTCTCGTGAAGGGAATACAGAAGTGAGCGGCGTGTGAATACATGAGCAATCTAACAGCATTGATATGCAGGATTGGGGAGACGGGGGGAAACTGAGGCTACAGCGAGTGTCACGTATGGAGGAAACATTGCATCTCATTCTCACAGAGTTCAGATATACACTCACCTAAAGGATGATTAGGAAGGAACACCTGTTCAATTTCTCATTAATGCAATTATCTAATCAACCAATCACATGGCAGTTGCTTCAATGCATTTAGGGGTGTGGTCCTGGTCAAGACAATCTCCTGAACTCCAAACTGAATGTCAGAATGGGAAAGAAAGGTGATTTAAGCAATTTTGAGCGTGGCATGGTTGTTGGTGCCAGACGGGCCGGTCTGAGTATTTCACAATCTGCTCAGTTACTGGGATTTTCACGCACAACCATTTCTAGGGTTTACAAAGAATGGTGTGAAAAGGGAAAAACATCCAGTATGCGGCAGTCCTGTGGGCGAAAATGCCTTGTTGATGCTAGAGGTCAGAGGAGAATGGGCCGACTGATTCAAGCTGATAGAAGAGCAACTTTGACTGAAATAACCACTCGTTACAACCGAGGTATGCAGCAAAGCATTTGTGAAGCCACAACATGCACAACCTTGAGGCGGATGGGCTACAACAGCAGAAGACCCCACCGGGTACCACTCATCTCCACTACAAATAGGAAAAAGAGGCTACAATTTGCAAGATCTCACCAAAATTGAACAGTTGAAGACTGGAAAAATGTTGCCTGGTCTGATGAGTCTCGATTTCTGTTGAGACATTCAGATGGTAGAGTCAGAATTTGGCGTAAACAGAATGAGAACATGGATCCATCATGCCTTGTTACCACTGTGCAGGCTGGTGGTGGTGGTGTAATGGTGTGGGGGATGTTTTCTTGGCACACTTTAGGCCCCTTAGTGCCAATTGGGCATCGTTTAAATGCCACGGCCTACCTGAGCATTGTTTCTGACCATGTCCATCCCTTTATGGCCACCACGTACCCATCCTCTGATGGCTACTTCCAGCAGGATAATGCACCATGTCACAAAGCTCGAATCATTTCAAATTGGTTTCTTGAACATGACAATGAGTTCACTGTACTAAAATGGCCCCCACAGTCACCAGATCTCAACCCAATAGAGCATCTTTGGGATGTGGTGGAACGGGAGCTTCGTGCCCTGGATGTGCATCCCACAAATCTCCATCAACTGCAAGATGCTATCCTATCAATATGGGCCAACATTTCTAAAGAATGCTTTCAGCACCTTGCTGAATCAATGCCACGTAGAATTAAGGCAGTTCTGAAGGCGAAAGGGGGTCAAACACAATATTAGTATGGTGTTCCTAATAATCCTTTAGGTGAGTGTATGTGGATGTGTGAGGTACAGATGTGAGGAGGCCAATCAAACTATAGAAAACACAGAAAGGAGGATCAGGAGGAGGTGAAGAATTCAGAAAGCGGAAAACCATCAATATGGTCATAAGCGTTTTCGCTCACAGCACACACACACATGTGGTTGGGAGTTGAGAACCCGTTCCTATTCAGAACTTGTAACATTGTCTAAGGGTGTGTTCACACTTGGCATGTTTGCTTGGATTGAAACGAACTCTGGTGCGATTGCTCTGTTATTGGGGTTATTTGAATGTGAACGCTGCCATCAGAACCAAACAAGCGGACTGACACGCTGAAAAGATGGGTTTTGATTCGTTTAAAATGTCTTTGGTCCATGTTGCGTTCATATTTCAGTCGAACCGCACCAGAGTTCGTTTGGAAGTGGACCGAGACTCATCTTTCCAGCGTCTCGGTCCGCTTGTTTGGTTCGGATGGCAGCGTTCACACTTATTCAAATAAAACGCACTAACAGAGCAATTGCACCAGAGTTCGTTTCAAGTTCACTGCCATCCGAAAACTGATGATTTGACTCAGAATACTTTTTATAAGCTCTGTGATTTCTCAGCTGGGCAAAATATCATCTTATCTGAACACACATTCGAAAAGAGCTCATTTAGCCAATGCTTAGCGAACCACTACTAAATATATAATTTCCCCAACTACAAGTGTGAACACACCCTAAAAGACACTGAAACCAAAACGATTTTCATTATGTCATTTTTTTCCAAAACTGTAATAAAATACTGCATGAATTGGTCAATAGGGGTCAATTGACCTCTCCCTTATTTTGGAAGAGGAAATTTGACAGAAATAACTGTACAGATTTAAGTTAAAGTTAAGTTAATTAAGCTATTAAAAATTACAGATACAGAAATAAATGTATAAATAAACGATATTTATTATTATTATTATTATTAATAATGGATAATTAATTTATGTATAATTTATTCTGTGTCATATACACATTTATTTACTTACACTATTGTTTAAAAGCTTGGGATCAATAACGTTTTTTGTTGTCGTTGTTGAACGAAATCAATACTTTTATTAAGCAAGGATTCATTAAATGAATTAAAGTGACAGGGAAGACATTTATTATGTAAAAAATATTCTATTTCAAATAAATGCTGTTCTTTCTATTCATCAAAGTATCTTGAAGAAAAGGTTTAAAAAAATCATTTGAATGGTAGTGCATCATCACTAAATGATAAATGAATGTATTATATTTTACAACTCCAGTTCTCGATTATGTCATCCTCTATATCTGTTGCGCTCAGGCAAACACAGTGCTGTCTGCTGGCATGATCGGCACATTTACAGTACAGCATCTACGGCTGTGTAATCTCATCACGAACGAGCACCCTGTTGGCAAACGATGTGGAGAGTGAATCTGTGCGCATGTTGGTCCAGGAGGGATAATTTATGCTGTAAATAAGGAACGGAGTGTAATATTAAAGGGCTGATTTCCTGTGCTAATTAGCTGATGTTTATTGTGATGAGTAGAGCGCATGTTTTCCCCACGGAGCGGCGCATTAGCATGTTTGTTGTCAGCCACCTATCAGAAGAACTGTACAGAGCCACTCGCTGATCAAACCATCCTGAATACACTGTGGAACGAAGGAAAAACATGCAATTTTCTAGGGGTTTCCTAAAGACTGACTTGAGTGTGTACAGGGTATAATATAATCTACCCACAAACAGGGACTAGGGTTATAATATAACCTGTTCAAATCCATTGAGCATGTTGAAAAAGAAAAAAATGACCCTATTCAGACCATATTTGTACCTATTCGTGGAAAGTGCCTGCTAGAGAACGAAGAGAAAGGAACATGAAATGTGAGATGAATGGGTGTGAAAGTCGCTCTCAGAGGTGAAGGACAGTGTGTTTTCATACCAGCTGTGGGTCGATCTCAGCGACAGATCTGCTTTGCACAGCGTCCAGTAGCTCCTCCAGTTCACCGAAGGCCAGTTTGCTGAGTTTGAGTTTATCCAGGGCCAAGTGCTCTCCGTGAAAGAGCCTCCTCCAGAGGTTATCCCTCCGGCAGTGGCCCATGGCCTGCTCCACGCTGCTCTGAATCTGCCGGCGCGCAGACATCACCTCAGAGTTGAGCAGGGGGAAGAGAGGGGACATGAAGAAGAGCCCCTGAGAGTCGTCGGTGTCTCCGAGCCCGGCCTGACCCGCGTGCAGGAGGTTCTCCATGTGCTCTGACTCAGGGCTGGCTGCAGGGCTGATGGGGGTGCTGGTCTCCTCCCACAGGTCCAGGTCAGGGTCCCGGGTCTCCATTCGCTCCGCACGGCCACTGAGGTCACCGGGGTCACGGTGGATCTGAGGAAGCTTCTTAAATCGACGCATGTCTGCAGTCAAACGTGGGAACAGCTCTCTTTGACTGGTCATGATCACGTAGAAACGAAGCCTGAAACCATTTAAAACGGAAAAAAGTCGGACTTTTGTTTTAGTAAAGAGCTTTTTTCTACAGTGCACATTATTCCAAAGTTTTCTTTTATAACCTGTAATGAAAACTTTCTCTTTTCTGCTGACAGCTCCAAGGCCATGCAGTTGGGGAAGAATATTCACATTATGTATTAATTAATATGACCTAAAATAAATAAATTAATATGATCTAGAATATGTTTAATAATAATAAAATTTTTATTTATTATTTTATTTATTACTAATTAGTATTGATATGAATATATATGAATATGATTTATTAATTACTATCTATAGTAATGTTATAGATAATATTTATAATTATCTAATAATAACAGTATTATTTACTAATTATTCATATTTATACCAATTATTTGAATTACTTTAATTATTAGCATTCATAATAAATAATATTACAATTACCATTTTAATTGTAATGTTAAAGATAACAATTATTAATAAATATTTCTAGAATATTTATTGTTTATACTAATTTATTATTATTTATATTTATTTGTAGAAAACATTTATGATCATTATTCATAATATTTTATTAATGTTTACTATAAAATGTTATGGATAATACTATTATATTATTTATTTATAATTTTAAATGACAAACATGGGTAGAAAAGGATAAACTCCACTTAAAAGTCCCAGCCTATATTATTTTGCTCTGATTATTCTGTTTCACACATAAAATACTTAAAGTATTACAGAAGTACAGAAGTTAAATACGTTGCAAATGTTGTTTCCTAACCCTAACTGCACTGAGTGATCCACCTAAGTGGCGTTTAACCCAGTATTCCTCGTATGCTTGCAGCGTCACACACCTGAGCAGGTGTCGCTCTCCTTCAGACTGCTCCTCAAACGGGGCGGCGTTATGACACACCAGCAGCGACACATCAAAGTCATCATGGTGTCGTAATCCCTCCAGGTCTTTAAATGAGCCAGAGCTTAAAGAGAACGACATAATTATTAGAATATACAAATATAAATTATAACATCACCGGTCTCACTTTATATTAAGTGGCTTTAAGTACCTTGTACTTACATCGAAAAGTAAGTACAATGTACTTATTGTGTTGATGTTGTATTGTAAAACACTTTTGCTGCTACTGAGGTGTGACACGGGTGAGGTTAGTGACAGGTGTGTGTGGTATGGGTCGGTTTAAGGGTGGGTTAAGGTGTAAGGGAAGGGTCAACAGTGCAATTACAAATGTAATTACATAAATTAATTACAGCTGTACTTACATGCTGGTATTTTTCAAATATAACTACAATGTAAAAACATGTATGTACACAATAAGTCTATTGTATCAAATTATTAATTTCAATGTAAGTACATAGTACTTAACGCCACTTCATATAAAGTGGGACGACATCACCTGCTGCAATAAGTCAGAATTTCACAAAGTACAAAGTATAATATTAATTGCATTGGGATATGTGAATATAGGGCGAAGGAATTTTTGGTGCAAAATGAAAAAGTTTGGTTGGTGTTAAAGGGGTCATATAATGATACATGCACTTTTACAAGTTGATTGTACTGAAATGTGTGTTGGCAGTGCCTGTACACAACCATCATAAAATGTTAAAAATCCATCCAGTGGTTTTGTTTTAATCTCCTTATATGTTTTCCCCTGCCTCAAATCGAGCCGTTCGACCGTGTGACGTCACAAGCTCGGAAGCCCCTCCCACTATTGTTGATTGACAGCAGCGTTTCAACACAGACCCGCCCTCGCTCGTGAGAGCTGTCAATCATAGTCTGCGCGGTCATTGTTGATATGCTGGAGCACTGTGTATGAGCAGAATGGCATCTAAGCGATTGTGGTGTTCTGTTCTTGGGTGTAATAACGAACACAGTCATTTTAATGTTCCTAAATCCGAACCGCTGAAGACGCAGTGGCTGAGTTTTGTTTTCGAAGGGAATATTCCCCACGAGCAACGTCAATGCGTTCATTTTTGCGCGAATCATTTCTCAGCAGACTGCTTTATAAAGGAGGGTCAGTATAAAGCTGGTTTTGCTAAGAAGCTGCTCCTGGATAAAGGATCGGTACCAGATATTCGTGTTCCTGCTGAACCTCCAGAAGAACTGAAGTGAGTGTAACGTTATTAACCTTTATATTAATATTTATATTAATCTTTGCAAATCGCTAGCAGCACGCTTCACGATGAATGCGTCGGTTTACACTCTGGGTACATTACGGCATGTTTTCTATGTACGACGTTCTCAATATAATTCCTAATCCCACGTTTATACTGAACAACGCGTTATGGTTATTGTGTTATTGTGTTACAAACGGTGTATGCACAGAACAGAGAGGCGGAGTCAGCAAAGCTCATTATCATTTAAAGGCATATGCACTGAAACAGCGTGCTGAAATCAGAGCTGTTTTTGACCAAGTAAAATAAGTGTTTTCTTACAATACTAATGAGAATTTTTAATTAAAGTATATTACAAACTTTTAATTTAGACCCTAAAGAATCATATTAGCTTGTACAAAAATGGCATTATATGACCCCTTTAAAAATGATGGTATGTTTGTTATCTTGCTATGAATATAAAATTATATATACACATATACTGGAACTATTTAGAGCTATATAAGGGGTGGGAAAAATAATGAGCTTCTGCTTCATCCCGCTCCTTTTCGAACATACTGTTTAATATTGTTATAATACTTTATAGATTTTTTTTTCGGTTTGTGTGAACATACTTATTATATTTATTTTATTTGTATATTTTTGTTGTTCGAAATAAAAATAAAGAAAGAAAATAAAGAAATACCTGTTCCACAGAGCGACCAGCGCATACTCATGCAGGTCTGTGCTCGGCGCCCCCTTTTTGTTATCAGTTGTAACTGCAGCCTTAGACATGCGCAAGGGCTTCATCCCATAAGTCCCAGCGTGATCAGTGATGTAATTATACAGCTGATATGCGGTTATCATCCCCGTTGATATGGAGAAACTCCCTAGTAAACATAAAAAGCATATTATGCATGACTGGCTAAAACAGGAAAAACACAAAAATTAATATGCCATCAAGTATGTGTTTCAGCTGACTCTTATGTGCTTATGCACTCACCCTGGAAGACGTGGTTGCGTCCAAACTTGGGTATGTCAGGGTGATGGGCGATGAAGTCCTCCAGAAAGCTAGTGAGCTGGTATCCCTGACGAAGGGTCATGTGACAACCCACGAGGTACTGATGCACCACACGCAGGTGGAAGTCGTAGCTGAACGAGTGAACGTGCATCAAATCCCGGACCTTATCGCACTCCTCGGTGAACAGCATGGACAGCTGGGAGCAAAAACACACATGCATGCAGTTACTCACACTGGTGCAGGATCTCAACACAACCCAAGAGAAACCGTTTGGATCAAAGGCATCCAATTCCCCAGAGGAAGACCGCAGGCAGTTGCAGAAACATCATCCCATAACCTCTAAATCCTGATAGCGGTACTAACTCAAAACCTAATGACTCTGTGCTTTAAAGAGCTTCTCCTACAGATGTTCAAATGAAGCCAGCCTCACTGCGAAGACAAAACCAAAGGCCAACATCAAAAGAAGATAAACGTGAAGAAAGATTAAACCTGATTATCATCAGATAATCAATCCAAGTTCTATTATAACTAATTAGATTCTCATTACTTTTAATATGAAGTAAAACACAACAACACTACTGTAATGTATAATTACTTAACAAATGTATATCTTTTTGTTTCATATTACAGTAATAAAATCGCAAAATCTTATAAATAAATATGTTGTGAATGGCTGTGACAGTGTCATCCAAATGACTTGTTCTGTCGTTCCTGGTTAAGACAGCGTAACTCATGAAAATGAAGACCCAGTGCACAAAATCTTAATGGTCCTTGATTTGAGGGTGAAATTGGAATCAGACAAGTTCTTGATACGCTTCATGAAAGTCACTCAAGCGCACATGAAACCTGACATTACACGTCTAAAACTCGACATAGTTGACTTGTGAAGAGCAAAACCCACCCACCTGACGCCAAACCTTTATAAGAGTCTTTTTAAAATCATCTGATATCAATCAACATTATAATTGTATCCTATTTAATTAGATCTCGCATCAAAGCCGTGCTTACAAAAGCATTAGTGGCAAATGCAAATGATTTGAGAGGGAGAGAGCGGGAGTAATTACAGTACAATGGGAGCAGAGAGGGCGAGGAACGCGACGGCGACGGCTAAACGCTATTACGCTGTCGCTTTCATCCTGACCATTTCCCTGGAACAAATGCAAATAGGTCTTAAAAAATCAAAGAGTTGAGGATTAAAAAAAAAACAGTTCATTTTGCGCAGTCATGGCCGTTCCATTTGCAGAAAGCAGCTCACGCAATTGCACCATTAATGCGAGAATCGCTTTTCACGTCAACATTTTGAAATCTGCCAGTGGCCCATTTGACTGAAAGTTCTGCCACAGGCTGAGGAGAGATAATATCCTTTATCCATTTTGCTCTCAGTCATCATGTGAGGGTGCGTAAAACTGCTTTTAGAAACATGGCGCATGAAAACAGCGCAGTTTGCTATGATTGCAGTGGATAGTCGGTAGTGTTTGTATAATCACACTCCAGGCCCGAGTCATGTGTTAACCAAATGCTTACATTCAGAAAAAAAGGGCCGTTTTCAAGACTTGTGTAAACATTTCCCAATGCATTGAACACTATGGTGTCTTCCCAGATGCCACAAGGCAAACAGGTCAAGTTCTGTAATGTTAAAACCAGCCCATTCTCAGTTGTAACTGAGTTATGGTCTGGCAAAGCGTCATAGACAAATCATTTCCAGAGGGGCGTCACCAACGGACGTCGCGGATAGACCTAAACCCAATCACAGCGATGAAGGAGATGACGTATGCAGAGCGGCGGAGACACATCTCCGAGTGTTGTTCTTTGCTCGGTTTTTAACTAAAAGGAAACGTTCAAATGGCTTAAAACAGACGCGATAGCTGATTGGAACGAGTGATGTTCGACGGCGGCATCCATCTTTGTAATGTAGGCTACAAAATCTGCTTCAAAACCCCAGCGCTGTCGTCATCGTGTAAAGCCCGCCCCAACGTTTCTGATTGGTGCCTCGATTTCGACGGATTGGAAATGGGCTTGAATGAGCTCTTTGCCAGACTAACTTTCAGAGCAAATCTAAATTTGCCGGAAGTTGTCTGGGTTTTCCCAGGCTATAATGTTTCATCAGAGACATTATAAGTAGGGGAGATTGACCACGTGAACAAATATAAATGAATGAAATCATACACTCAACGGAGCAGCTGTAGTCCTTCCCTACAGGTACAACAGCCAATATCTGTTAGATGGAGCCATCGCTACACTTAATAAAACAGCTGAATGCCTTATGGTTCAAAAAGCCAATCCCCTGTTTGTTTACTCTTGAACATTTGCATTAGCTGGACAAGCCTGAAAACGTTTCGAGTGATTTGAGCTTAGAATACCACTATTGTCAGATGTTATTCCTCATTTGCAATATATTGCTTGAACAATTTTGACAAGCACTTTTGGAGATTTTAGTGTCTCTCCATTCAAGCAGATAAAGCTGTACGTCCATGGTTGGAAACATCTGCTCGAGGCGTTACGGACATGATGACCGTTGAGTGAACTTGCCTTAAAGGGACTTCGGCCTCGCTTAGAGTTTGAGGTGTTCTACTTGCTTACTTTCACCGTTTATACTGTAATATGTGAAGTTTTACTCATTTCTGACTACCTGGTAATCTCACTAAATCACCTTTCCACAACACTTGATGTGGAAGTCCTAAAAGGTCCATAAAGTCAATATAAAAATGTGTACTTTTTAATGAATGTATCCTTGTGTGCACAATTCATTGGTGCACATTATTCCAAATACAAAAAAAAAAAAAGAGTATCTTTAATCAAAATGCTATAATTGGTAACACTTATTTTAAAGGTGACACAGTAACACGTTACATGTACTTACTCTTTCAATAACAGTAATTGAATAATTAATTTTGAATTGTAACCAAACCATAACCCTATAGTAAGTATATGTAGCTTTTAATATTAATATTACTCAGCATTTATTTCGGATTACACTGTAACAATGTTACCTTAAAATCAAGTTTAACCCAATAATTAACTGAATCTCTTCTTTTCAGCCAATATAATGTATTAATCTTCCATTTCAATCCCACTGGACTAAATTCCACTTTTCAAAATTCAGTAAATTTCCTTTTTTTTTTAGTTCCTTTACACTCAGAAACACACCAGATTTTGGAAGTAAAATATGTTGTGTACAGCATTTGTTGACTTAAGATCTGTGTAGTGCTAGATAGGAAACAAAAGATATAATGTCAGGCACATTAAGAATAAGCGGAAGCCGCCATGACAAAGTGGAAACGCTCCACTTGTGATTTTCTCATTTTGAAACAGCGGTGAAAGTCACAGTATATCATCTGTTGATTGATAAAGAACAGTCTCCGAATTGCTGTTGATGGAGACATAAAGGAGACAAGCAGATCCAAATTAACATGCAACAAGAGCAGAAGAAAATCAGGGATAATCATTGAGCAAAGGAAAGAGATCATTGGCCTATGAGAGCTGCAAGAAGAGTGACCCCGTGACCTCCCAGAAGATGCCACATTCATGAGCATCTGCATTTAAATACAGCAGAGAGACACAACCACATGTGCGGCTGAAGAAGAACCCCAAGATGCATCGCTGAAGAACACAGACAAACACAGGGAAAGGAACCCTCTGATTTTCAATGAACGGGCAAGACTGGAAGGGGAGGAGCCAGGCACTACACGGGGGAGGAGTCTGAGGGAAGAACTGAAGCCTGATTGGTTGAAGACGAGCCCACCCCGAGGATGCAGAGACATACCGCAGAGTCAGAGACCGTGGGCGTCTCGGGGAACGGCTTGCTAGGAGGTTTGTTGAGAAGTGAGCCCTGATGGAAAGAAAGAGTGAGATGGGACTAGACACACACACACACAGACACACACACACACTCACCATGTGCAGAACAGTGAGACACACACACAAACACAGAAGATAACACACACAAACAGAGACAGATGAGAAACATGCCACACAGAGAGGTTAGAAGTCAATTTACACAAAAATGAACACATGCACAAGCTGACTGTCACACGCTAATGTATGAGGGTGTGTTACAGGAAGTGACACGGAGATGATCAAAAATGATGATAATCTATTCCCAATGTTCCTCAATTCCTGCCACAAATGTCATAGAAAGTAATTGATGTCCATTGCCACCTCAAAATCTACTTTATCTGGTGGTACAGTGGCTGGAAGAGTATTAGTAACAGTAAAAGTATACTTTAAAATAAATATTAATAATGAATTTATATGCTAGGAAGAAGATGATTAAAATTGTAATAATCATAATAATATTCAGTATATAAATGTTGCTCTGTGAAACAGTGCCATTTGTGTGTCACTGACGCTCAACTGACACAGAATACCGAATTAGTCACGTGGGCAACACTTTTCAATCAGATCCAATTTGTTAACATTAGTTAATGTATTAAGTATCATGAACTAATAAGTAACAATGCTTAAACAGCATTTACTAATACAGGTAAAGGTAAATGTTAATATATTTATATGTATAATATATTTTTATACCATACTAGTAAATCCTGTGAAAATTGTTAATTCTTAGTTCATGATTCCTAATGCAATAACGAATGTTAAAAAATTAAACTTATTGTTAAGTGATAACATTACACAATTTTAATAATTTATCTGTTTAATGTACAGTATAAGGAAGAACTTTTACAATAAAACATGCACTATATTTGAAAATTATTTAAATTGGAATTTTAGCCTATTTGCAAGTCTATTATTAAACATTTAAATATGCATAATTTTTTGTACTATAAACATACTATAACAGGGTTGGCATAAAATATGGTTTGAAAAAATAAATATAGTATGATCATACAAGTTCATCATATTATGACTTTAAAGTCGTTTTAAAGTCCCCCTGTAGTCAATCATTTCATCTCTTAAAACTCATCCTTGATCACCAAAATGACATATTTAAGGTTTTTTGTTCCTTGAAAAAAATTTCTTCATGCCTTGAAATAGCTTGAATATAACTCAACACCCTTGCCTCATTTAGTATACACGGTTCTATGAATATGCAAATGGGCCCCGCCTCCACTCACTCACTCAACTCGTTGCCGGTCACAGGTTGATCTGATTGGTTACGAGGTCGTTTGTGACGTCAGAAACACCCGTGATTTCAAACCGTGTTTTTGAGACTGTCTTTGGTTCACTGCAGTTTTAAGGAGAAAATACTCAGCAATGCTGTCAACACATGAATTTTTTTGTCTTAAAGCATATTAAAAACACCACATAGACATAAACACAATATTAAAACCTCGATTTTCACCACAGGGGGACTTTAAGACTGGCTTAAAGGAGAACTCCGGCGCAAAATGAACCTTTGGTCTAATTACACATTGTTACCTAGTCAACCGTTATCTGAGATTTGTTTTCATGATTATCGAATGTAAATAGTTTTATCTCTAAAAACAGTTTAGCCTATAAAGCTAGTATAACGCTAGTATATATTGGGCATAGAGTAATGACAAATACAAATCGCTTGTTAATACCACTAACAAGGCTCAAAATAGCCCCACACTAACACGGTAGCATAATGAGGGTCCCTACCTTCAAACCGAAGCATTGAGAACTTTGTCAGTGTACAGACCGTTTAATAAGAAGATATTTTATACATACAGTCAACTTCGCGTATACAGGCAGGAGCCATCTTTGAAATAAAGTCTCTACCAGTCGATCTACAAACGCCGATCCAAGTGCGCTGGTGAGATGTGAACGAGCTATAAGTTGTGATAAGGTGAGCGCGAACAATAGGCTTGGATCGGCGTTCGTAGATCGACTGGTAGAGACTGTATTTCAAAGATGGCTTCTACCTGTATACGCGAAGTTGACTGTATGTATAAAATATCTTCTTATTAAACGGTCTGTACACTGACAAAGTTCTCAATGCTTCGGTTTGAAGGTAGGGACCCTCATTATGCTACCGTGTTAGTGTGGGGCTATTTTCAGCCTTGTTAGTGGTATTAACAAGCGATTTTTATTTGTCATTGATCTATGCCCAATATACTAGCGTTATACTAGCTTTATAGGCTAAACTGTTTTTAGAGATAAAACTATTTACATTCGATAATCATGAAAACAAATCTCAGATAACGGTTGACTAGGTAACAATGTGTAATTAGACCAAAGGTTCATTTTGCGCCGGAGTTCTCCTTTAATAGTTTAAGAATTGAGGGGAAACAGCAACAACAAAAATATTTGTTGATCACTGGAGAGAAAGCATCCTCAAAAGATGCTGCACTAATGTCTATGGCAGAAACAGCTCTAGTTATTTGTGCCTGAGATAGGAAAACATGACTTCATTACAGTAAGATTTTTAAATTTTAAAGAACAATTTTCTAGGAGAAATGGCACTGTTTCCTGTGCCCGGTTGCATAAAGCACCTTAAGTTTTTCCCTTAAGTATGATACTTAAGGGGCGATTTACCCTTACCTAAGAGAACAACTTAAGGGTGTTGCATATAATCTCTTAAACGGTTCTCTTAGGTAAGGGAAACATTTAAGTGTTTCACGACAGCGATCCTGGATTCACGTTACAAAAGTCTGTTGTTGCCATAGATACGCAAAACACTAACATGTCGGCTTATCACGTGTCAGTCCAGTGACGCTATCACGCAACACCGCGTTAGCTCCGAACGTGACAGCTGAGTATATTTCCATAGCATACCTGTTTTCTTCTGTCATGATTCCTTTTAAAACACAGAATCAGCTCATTCTCCTGTGAATTTTTTGTCGGCCACACACTCTCCGTGCGCGCACTGACTTAACGTTGTGATAGTTTACATGCGAGTCGCGTGTAATGACAGACAGACAGCCGTCTAGTTTGATAGCGATGTCAAATATTGTGCGTCGATCAAATCGGTATTCTTGCAACAATTTTTCATGGCTAAATTGGTCCAAAGGGTTCTCCCTATTCCCTATGATCTTCAGCTGGTTTCATAAATTCAGCCATGTCGTCTTATTTTTGTCCGCGTTACTCTTAAGGTTACGATTTCCAAACCTTAAGTTATACTTAGGGAAATTACCGTTAAGGGGTTTTATGCAACACTTAAGGATTACTTAGGTGAAAAAACAGCATTTAAGGGAAATTCTAAGTGTTTATGACGTTTAACTTAAAAAAAAACGTTAAGTAACACTTAAGGGTATTTTTCTGCAACACCCTTAGGTTTAAGGGAAACATAAGGGCGACTTTAAGGGAAAATTACACTTAAGGTGCTTTATGCAACCGGGCACTGACCTTTAAATATGGGTGTAACAAGTCAGACTTCAAAAATGATTTGCTGATTTTCATGGTGAATTTGACAAGAATATCCTCTCTATCGCTCTACAATAAGTAGATATATTTGGTTCTCCATGAACAAAAACAAGTATTAACATAGCGGAATAATTAACAACTCAACTTGACTGTTCATTCCTTATGAAAAATAATAACACTGTTTGCCCACCAAATTGGCAGATGGGAATGTTTGCTGACGCAATCAAAAACTATGGATTCTAATTGAACAAATATGATAAGTTGATGAATTTTCATTACTGATTCCTTGTGACTTTTATTCCTGTTCACCCTCAAGCTCAGTTTGAAGAAGCTGCACTTACAAACAACCAAACAAACACGCTAATGACTTAATCACTGGATATGAGCAGCTGTGATTGGAGACACCTTATGGGCTTCTGGCGCTGCAGAAGAAATCAGAGCCTCCTGCTGAGAAACATCTGGAGACTTACAAATATTTACACTTAATTACTTATCATTTAGAGCCAACCTGGACCCACTACACATTAAATACGCCATCAGAGACAAATAGACAGAGATTTGACCAGTGAATCCTGCTAACAAAGGAGAAGATTGCTACTTGTATTTATAGACATTACAGGAAGGCACATACAACAGATGCACAGAAATACAATATGAACTTCATTTACTAACACTTTCTCTTTACATGCACTGTCATGATGCCGTTACCTGAGAATTAACCGTCTGACCCATGGGAATCCTTGAGCACTCTAATGCAAACTGCTTCACGCAGAAGTAACAGCCCTGAAACAGAGTCAGAATGAGAGTGTGTGTTACTAGAGTTATGCATCAGCTGCAGTGCATTCATCTCTGCTTTGTTCAGCATATTCAAGAGCCGTCTGTGCAACAGAGAAATTCTTAAGGCCAAAATAAATCAAATCTGACTCCATTTACTTTCTTAATTCAACCAGGTCACGATTCACCTGTGCACATTTTTCCAATGAACAAAAACTCCCATTTATCTCTTTCCTATAATCACCTGTCATATAGAAACACTTTTCACCAACCAATTCATTATTGATGGATAAACTCAAGTGAATGTGTTGTTGAATGCTCAATTCATCTTACTTTATTCCAACTTTGTAATTTTATCATTGTGATTATTTTTTTTATATATTGTTATTATTAATGTAGTAGTAGTAGTCGTAGTAGTAGTCGTAGTAGTAGTAGTCGTAGTAGTAGTAATAGTAGTAGTCGTAGTAGTAGTAGTAGTAGTAGTAATAGTAGTAGTAGTAGTCGTAGTAGTAGTAGTAGTAGTAGTAATAGTAGTAGTAGTAGTCGTAGTAGTAGTAATAGTAGTAGTCGTAGTAGTAATAGTAGTAGTAGTAGTCGTAGTAGTAGTCGTAGTAGTAGTAGTAGTAGTAATAGTAGTAGTAGTAGTCGTAGTAGTAGTAATAGTAGTAGTAGTAGTAGTAATAGTAGTAGTAGTAGTCGTAGTAGTAGTCGTAGTAGTAGTAGTAGTAGTAATAGTAGTAGTAGTAGTAGTAGTCGTAGTAGTAGTAATAGTCGTAGTAGTAGTAGTAATAGTAGTAGTAGTAGTCGTAGTAGTAGTAGTAGTAGTAATAGTAGTAGTAATAGTAGTAGTAATAGTAGTAGTCGTAGTAGTAGTAATAGTAGTAGTAGTAGTTGTAGTAGTAGTAGTAGTAGTCGTAGTAGTAGTAGTAATAGTAGTAGTAGTCGTAGTAGTAGTAATAGTAGTAGTAGTAGTAGTAATAGTAGTAGTAGTCGTAGTAGTAGTAATAGTAGTAGTAGTCGTAGTAGTAGTAATAGTAGTAGTAGTAGTAGTAATAGTAGTAGTAGTCGTAGTAGTAGTCGTAGTAGTAGTAGTAGTAGTAATAGTAGTAGTAGTAGTAGTAGTCGTAGTAGTAGTAATAGTCGTAGTAGTAGTAGTAGTTGTAGTAGTAGTAGTCGTAGTTGTAGTAGTAGTTGTAGTAGTAGTAGTAGTTGTAGTTTTATTCTGACATAATAATATTCTGTGCATCGTTTTCGGACTGCGCGCTCTCGTGAGTGAAACTGCTGTTGTCTGCTGAACTGCTATGGTGTGACGATTGCTGAAAGGACATTTATTGTTTGTTATCTGTGATATTTGCTGCAGAAGTTACCCTGAGGTGTTAGTCATTGACCTACAAGTAAGCATGTTTGCCTTATGTTTGTGTTTAGGGACTGGTATTTAGTTATTTATAATTGCGTCATGCAGCCATGTCCAGACATGCCCTCATCTATTGTTTCTGTTCCATTGGTGATTATTTCTTCTTAATTGAGATGTATATCACTATTTACCATTACCATTACCATTTACCATTTATACCAAACGAGCGATTGCAATCTGATATGCTGTGCTATCCATATATAGAGTGATGTTTATTATGTTCGATGATTGCTTATGGTCTATAATGTACAATGTGATTCCTTATTTTCCTTTATTGGATTGTATATTCCACGGTGAAATGTTACTGATGAGGATTTAGTATGTTTTGGCTGCCTTTATGTACCAATGGATGTATATTATTGTATATATGCCCAGCTATTCTTGTTATTCACTATCCTTAATGGTATTTCTTGTTTTCCAGACTAATGCCTCTAATGCCTGTAATTGATACCTACCTGTGAAATACCTGTACCACTGTGGATTGTAGGGCTGTCAACTTTAGTCGTTTAGTCGACTAATCGGTCGATGCCGTCTTGGTCGACTGACATTCTTATTGGTCGACCAGTTGCATTTTTTTTTTTTTTTTACCAATAGAAAGAAATTTTCCATGATTTACTCCTTGATAATTATTCCTTTATAAGCAGTTAAATATTACTGTATTCTAAATATAATTAGCCTATGGTTTATCCCCAACTTTAAATGCTTTAATTTAGGCTATTTTGTAACAGCGCCAGAGTTTTAGCACACACATAGAACACTCGGTTCACACGGCTGGCTGCGCTGCTGCTTCGTGCTCAGTAAGGGATATAGGTAGTTCAGCTTTCATTCAGTTAGAACGCTACTTGTTTCGGTTTTTATGTTTTTATACACTATATGTTTTTATCTCGATGCGGCGTGGACGCACTTGGAAAAAAAGAGCGCATCGCACCCATAGACTGTATAAAGGTCTCACCGCGACCGCGTTGCTTCCATCATGAGCGCGCACACCGCGCGCCTACATTTGAAATCGAACTTGAGCGCGCAAAAGACGTGAGCAGTCCCTTTAACGGCTTTATCATGCTGACTCAATAGATTGTGTTTTCTTGATATGTTTTTGTTTTTATTTGTACACTTGACGCATTTGAAAATAGCCTAAATAATGTAACAAAACGAAAATAAACCTATATGCGGTCCTACAATACAACCTATTATTATTAGGATTGTTTTTTAGGCTCTTTGGGTTTTTGTGTGTGTTTGTTTTAAAACGCCTAGATCGGCTGGACAAAAGTTAACCCATAGCTTTGAAAGTAAAGAAGAACATACAGCCTGTATAAACGAGAGCTTTTGTTAGGATTTTTCATTGTGGCATATAGCAGTTATATTTTTTGTAGCGTGTGGTGTTGTCAGTTGCGCGATTGTGACTGTTACTATAGACCTAGGACAGTGCTCCTCACTTTTTGCAGTTAAAAGCAGTTAATTTTCAAAGAATTGTATTATTATTATAGTTTTATGTATTTTTGATGTTTTTTCGTTGTTGTTTTATAAATGCTCTATGACAATTGTTAAAAAATGTTCAATCAAAACATCGCATCTTTTTTTATTTTTTTATTTTTTTAGTCGACTAATCGTTGTGCAGGACAAGACTTTGGTCGACTAAGGATTTCTTTGGTTGACTACAGCCCTAGTGGATTGTCCTTTTATCAATACATCATCGAAAACTGCTCAACTGTCTCCTCATCCTTATATCAAAGGGGTTCACATCCTTATATCAGAGGAGTTCACTTATCTAATTACTAATCAGATACATACAGTCAAAAGTCTCCCAAACAAGTAGTAGTAGTAGTAGCAGTAGTAGTAGTAGTAGTAGGCATAGTAGTAGTAGTCATAGTAGTAGTAGTCGTAGTAGTAGTAGTAGTAGTCGTAGTAGTCGTACAACTAATAGGGTTTGGAATAAGTTCGAATTTCTGACCATAATATCAAACTTAGATATAAGGTATGAACCTTATAATTATAATTTGTATTATTATTATTATTATTCTTGCTGTTGTTATTATTATCACTATTAATAATAATCTAAATAAATGCTAATAATAATAACAATAATATTAATAATACTATTATTATTAGTATTATTATTGTAAGGTTCATTCTTGTTGTCAAATTATATATTCCAAACTTCAGCAAACAGGCAAAGGAAATGCAAATCTGCAAACAAACAAACAAACAACAAAGAAAACAAAGATAAACTAACTCCCCACCAACTCCTGCATAAGTAATCTACTAGTGTTCACATGAACATTTCTATGAATGACTCGCGTTTTACCCGAGATTTCAATCAGAATACATGATCCGTAATTCACACAGAACTGAATAAAAGCATTATACAACGGTTAAAAATTGCATTAATCGCTTATGTTAGCACATCAGCTATGACAACCCTAATATAGAAAATTAATTACTTTTAAACAGATATTAGAGAGAAGGACTGAAGATCAATTGATGACGTGCGGTTTCCTTGCTGTTGATTCTGTGTGTTCAAATATTAATAACCACAAATAGCGCGAGAGCGAGACAGAGTCCATTAAACATCTCTCTCCTCACCGTCCGAGGAGACTTTCACAGCGTTCCTGTAAAAAAGCCCAGCGTATGCTCTCGGCTGATGTGCTAAGAGGCCGATTCTATCCCTGATCTGCACTGAAGGCCAAGAGACACAGACGGATGAAGGTCTTACTTGAAAAGCCAGTTCCATCAGTACGATGCCTCCCGGCAGCGCTCTTTGCAGGTGATATGACGTCGAGCTCGATGCACTGCTCTGCTGAGAGAGGCAGACGGGACACAATCACTGTGTGTGTGTGTGTGTGTACGGGTTTGGCTACATTGTGAGAGCCAAATGTTTTCAATTATATAGTGAAATATTATGATGACCAACTAGTGAGTAAATTGTACTGCTCCTCACTAGTTAAAAAAGGCTTATAAATCAGTTTTTATTTAAATCTAATGTTTTTTCACATGTTTCTGTGATAGGTAGGTTAGGCGTAGGGATTGGGTTAGGCCATAGAAAATATCATTAACCTGACATAAAATCAATGGGAGTCTATGCCATGCCAAACAATTATTTTTTAATGTTTTTGGAAGAAGTTTCTTCTGCCCACCAAGGCTGCATTTATTTCATTATAAATACAGTAAAAACTGTAACATTGTGAAATATTATTACAATTTAAAATAGCTCTTTTCTATGAATATATTGTAAAATGTAATTTATTCCTGTGATCAAAGCTGAATTTTCAGCATCATTACTCCAGTCTTCAGTGTCACATGATCCATCAGAAATCACTCTAATATGATGATTTGCTGCTCAATAATAATTTATAATTATTATCAATGTTGAAAACTGTTCGGCTGCTGAACATTTTTGTGGAAACAATTTAAAGACCTTTTTTTTTTTGTTCGGATATGATCCAGAACGGGCACCAGGACTGTGTCAATGCAAAAAGTGCCAAGTGTGTGTGTGTGCGTGTGTGTTTGAACTGTGATGCACACAGTTGAAACCTGTGAAGCGTGACTGAATGGTTGAATGTGGATGAGCAGATATTGGTTGTGTACCTTTGGGCTGTCTTCACTCTTCTGCTTATTATATGAGAAAGATGAGAAGGAAGATCTGCCTTCAGTGGATAAAGAACTCAACATGGCGGCTCGGGCTCGAGCGATGCTGCAGAGAGAGAGAGAGAGAGAGAGAGAGAGAGAGAGAGAGAGAGAGAGAGAGAGTGTGTGAGTGTGAGTCAGAGCTGACCGCGTCAGTAATGTGGCCCTCATGCTGGCGGTCAGACTGAATCACACGCTCCTGCTGCTTAATACAGTGTGTCGACCATTAGCACCTCACACACTTTACAGTGCTTTAAGTGCACTTATTGTTGCCAGGTGACTTCATACCATGTTTGACATCACAGTTTGGATAGATTCTATGCAGGTTATGCTTTGTATCAAAAACTGAAGTAAATTTTTTTATCGAATAACACTTTCCCTTTTTATACTCGAGCTTACGACAGAAATGTATAACATTTGAATTCCAGAAACATTCGTCGTTATTGGGAAGTCGTAATTACAACGTCAGGTGTGTTCAAATGACTCTGGTCAGAGCAAGATGGCTCAGGGCAGTTTCACACTCGTGATTACTAGGGATGCAAGATATATCAGCCACCATATCAGGAACAGCCGATACATATTCATTTTTAATGTTAACATTATCGGCCAAATAAAAAATGTGGCCGATACATTAAAGCCGATAAATAATGGATTATTTCCTTCAGCTGAGACGCTTCAGATGCGCATTGTTCGCCATGATGGTTTTGAATTGCTTGAAATATGATTGGGATCACTGAAAAAAAAACAAAAAACATGCGCATCGCAAATCTGTCATATAGGCTACATAAAATTATAATGAGAACATCATTATAATTGTGTGATTGGGACATGGATTTTAATGGTGAGACTTTTGTTTATATAAAATTATCTACAAATTTGGGTTTAGATTTATTGGCCAATATATCGGTTATCGGCTTTCAAATATAAAAAATGTTTTGGTTATCAGTATCAGCCATAATTTTCATATCAGTGCATCCCTAGTAATTACAACTTTGTGGTGGCATTCATGAGCATTCAACTCGAAAATGCAATCTCTCCAGCATGACTCGTATGCACCTTTACGGTCAAACCGTGTGTGTTTTGTTTTGGTTGTGGGAGATGGTGTTTTCCTGCGGGACACAGACCTGCGTGCGGGCGACTGCGGTCGGACCTGCACCAGGATGAAGCCCATGCTCTGCAGATACTGCACATACTGCTGGAGGAACGTGCTGGAGATCTCCTGCAGCCACGGCTCCTCCTTCAGGCGACTCGGAAGCATGTCTGCCGAGTCCGTGCTGTAGCTGCGATCCCTGCCGGATGCCGTGGAGTCGCTGGAGCGATGCCGCTTCTGTAACCAGAGAACGAGAGAGAATCTTTGAGCTGATATCACTACAGAGAGAGAGATCCTACTACCCATGTAGTCTCACAAAGCCAGACTTTTGACTATCAGCATAAAGTCTGGTCGATATTGAGCCAAAAAAGCATCCGCTTTAGGCCCAGATATACTCACTCTTCGTTTTTCACATAAGGGTAAAAAAAAAGAAATTTGAAATATCTGAGAAGCAGTGTACTGTTAGCGAACATCTCAGTTAACATGTTTAGGTGAATATGTAAATATGTGCTGCACGCTTTCCTCTCAATAACAAACTAAAGCATTGAAAAAACGTGGATATGTTTGCACGTGCTCTGCAGTTCGGGACTCTCGGGAACGCCATGTCATGTCACATCTATCTATATAGCACTTTATAACAATGGATTGCTTCAAAGCAAGCAGCTTTACAGTGTTAAACATGAATATCAGTATGTTGTTTTCAATTAAGAGTCGTTTACAGTATCAGTGTCTCTTTCAATTAGAATTACAACTTCAGTTTCTACTCTAAAGCAGCTCTCCAGTGTGTTCACATTCACAGAAGAAATGAACCGGAGAAGATTTAAGGGGTCATCACACTACACTTTTCATTCCATTGACTTCCAATCCATGCGAATGTGTCAGACAACAAATGCAAGCTCATGTGGAACAGTACAGTAGAAGATCGATATGTCACGGCGTGATATCTTAGCTGAATTAATAGAATGATAATTTTGCAGTAAAGTTGGGTAGATTGTATTTTTTTTGTATATTTTGAGTGTACTACCATTTGTTATTTGTTGAATTCATGTTTATGAAAAAGACGCTGCAGCGTGACGTCATATCACAACTGCTGCAGTGTCCAAAGAAAAAAAGAAAAAAGAAAGTCCAGTGCGACCGTGGCTTTACATGTCGAAGGCGGCGGAGCCTCAGAGCCACACAAACCTATTACATAATCACAACTTTCCCAGAAAGTTTGCTTTAGAAAGGTGCTTTGAACTCCCAAAACTAACTGATTTTGTTGAGTTTGTTCTTTGATTTCGCTTGAAGTATATTGGGGCCTTTAGGCAGGAAGAGAGCATCTGACCAACATATAAAATGACCCACCACGGCATGTTTTTATGTGACATTTGGGTGTTTATATCTTAACTGTCAGAGAACAAGAAGTGAAGTACACAGGTGAATGGTGTGCTTGTTAATAAATCCCACTTGCTTAATGACATTTTGTTATCTAATCAGACTAACCTCTATGCCACTTCAATCGTGAACAACAACTAACCATAGACCGCATAATCATGATTATTCTGGTGCTACGCTAACACACATCTGTGCTTATTATCATGCCTGACACATGTGATTACATAGTTTGTGGTTTATAAAGCAAATGATGTCTCACTGCATAAAAGATCGGTTTTGGTCATCCTTAAGCTAGTGTTATACTTTCCGCGTCCGCGAGTGCGCGAGGGTCCGCGTGACGTAAAAATCGTCATCGGAGGGTGTGTGCGGATGCTCCTTGCGGACGTCCGCGTGCCTCCCATTTTTTGTGACCGCGTGGACAAGTACGCGCTGTCATTATAGGTAAAAACAAAAACCGCGAAAGCGCTGGGAAAAAAAAAATGGACGTCCAATTTGAAGAGAGGCTGTGTGAAGAAGTCCGTCGCTAACCGCACCTCTGCAATCCATCATTAAAAGATCACAAAGACAGCCAGATGTGTAATAATTCCTGGAGGGAAACTGGCCAGAGTTTAGGCAAAGAAGAAAGTCTGTGTCGGCAGAAGTGGAAATATCTGAGAGACCGTTTTGTTAATAAAATAAATGGAAATTTTATAATTATATAGAGTTGACACTGCGCGAGAGAGACCGAGTGTGTCCGAACATTAGTAAACTGGTCCATAGTAATATATAATTACTATATAAGAGGCATGGAAGTTCGATAAATGGACAAAATGTTGTCAGTTTTGTCCAAGCCGATCTACTGCGCATGCGTGGAGCGCGTTCACCGAGCGGACCTCAGTATAAATACAAGTAGTGCGCGTCCGTGCTGTCCGCAGCTGTCCATGTACGCGTCCAAACTGGAGTATAACAGAGCCTTTATGGTCTGGGATTTGAACAGACCCCTAACCCTAAGTCAGGCTCCAAAATGATGGGATTGACAGTGTCAGCAGGAGGAAGAGAAAGAGAGAGAGAGACCTTCATCTGTGGCTGTGGAACCTGTTCCTCTTGAATCTGTTTCCGGAACACGGGGTCGAAGAGCAGCGGAGTGGCACAGTAATGGACCAGTCGAGAGGACTGCTTCAGTGTGTCCAGATCCGCGACCTGTGCTCAGACACACCAGACACACAGCAAGAGGGTTACCAGGTTTAAACCTAGAATTTTCTTTATTTGCAGCAACAGCTATTGTTTTCATAAAGGTGAAGTGTGAACAATTTCAACGTATAAATACATTCCATCCGAGTTTAATAAGCAGAGACAACTGTGTAACTCATAGGTTCATTTGTCCTAAAAAAAAAGAAAAAGAAAAAAAAAAGAGTCTCACAACGTGGTTTTGTGGAGCCTTCAAAGCACGGACCTGTTAGTTTGAACATCACGACTAGTTTAACACATTGACTCAACCAATGGTGTGCGCTCGGTAAATTTATATTCAGGTTATACTGTGAATATACACTAAGAATGAATATACACTGAGTCGGGAAGAGTCTCTTCTGCTCACCAAGGCTGCATTCATTTGATCAATAATACAGTAAAAAGAGTAAAAATCGGGGAGTGTCAAATGATCCTTCAGAAATCATTCTAATATGTTGATTTGCTGCGAGAAACATTTCTTATAATTATCAACGCTGAAAACTGCTTAATTTGTTTGTTGAAGCTGTTTTCCCAGATTCTTTCAAAAGAACAGCATTTATTTGAAATCGAAATCTTTTGTAACATTATAAATGTCTTTACTGTCTCTTTTGATCAATATAATGCATCTTTGCTGAATAAAAGTATTACGTTCTCACTGTATAAAAATCATATGGACCCCAACTTTTGAAAGGTTGAAAGGTGACCTCACCTGCACTATAGAGCGTAAGCAGTATAATCTAATACTGTGATCTGGACCTCAGCAGTGTGAAACAGGCAAAGGAAGTGAGATTACAGCGAAAGGCAGAGACATCTCACACACTAGAGAATCCCTTAATGTCCCCGCCACATCTCATTAAACCCAACTAGGCCGTACATGCGCTCGTACACGGATCTGCATCTGTGCGCGTGAGGCAGAGGATCCGCACGCACTGAAATGAATCTGGACCTGATGAGCCGCTGAGAAAATCATGTTCTGAGAGCGTGATGGAAAACACCGATCACACACGATCACCCACATTGTGCGCAAATATTAATGTCTGCATTGAGTATGTATGAACTCACAGAGATGGGCATGTTAGATTGAGCTGACCGCTGCTGCCACGTCACAAACAAATTCTCAATCTTCATTTGTCTCTCCAACTCTGGAAAACAAAAGAAACATTTTGAAATAAATCACTAGCTCTTTCTGTGTCTGAGGTTCATTATTTTAAGGGGTGGTTGATTATGATTTCACTTTTCTAACTCTAGTTAGTGTGTAATGTTGCTGTTTGAGCATAAACAACATCTGCAAAGTTACAACGCTCAAAGTTCAAAGCAAAGGGAGATATTTTCTTTTAAAGAAATCGCTTTTTAAGGACTACAACGGCTGATAGGGACTACACGACATTCCTCCTGGGTAAGTGACATCACTAACCCTAAAATTGACATAAACCCCTCCCCCGGAACACGATTCATAGATTATCATGACAGAATATGCTAATCAATGGCTAGAAGATAACTACAGATGAACTAGATAAATTCATTAACTAACCATTGAGAAATGTCCTGTTGTATTCTACATGTTGTCACTTCTTCTTGAGTCTCTCCATCATTGTCTGACTCCGGTTTGAACATAAAAGGCTAAAAGCTGCTAAGAAGGTGTGCTGGGAGCAGCAGCTCATTTGCATTTAAAGGGGCAGACACAAAAACGGTGCGTTTTTGCTCACCCTCAAAAAGTGACAATTTTAACATGCTTTATTAAATTATCTGTGGGGTATTTTGAGCTAAGACTTCACATACACACTCTGGGGACATCAGAAATTTATTGTACATCTTGTGAAAAGGGCATTATACCACCCCTTTAAATTATGCCAGTCATGTCTTTAGGTGTGTCCATTAGGTCCGCGTGGCAGCTTCTGTCAGTTTTGGATGTGTTGATGTGTTTGTACCTCTGCGTTCAGCTGCTTTGACTTCCAGAAGATGGGCTCCGTGGCGAGCGACTATATCTGCTCCGTCCTGATTGGTCAGCGGTCTCCCTGTGTTCACGTCTCTCAGAGCTTCATCAAAGGGCACGAGCTCTCCGGGGAAGGCCAGAGGAGGAAGAACACGCGCAGAGCTGCCCAAACGGCCCTGATCTTTACTCGCGGCCGGAGGAACCGGACTCCTCAACAGAGCATCCGCCTCGATCGTGGAGCTCAGGAAGGGGTTGGGCTCCTGTAAGCAAGTAAATCAAGTAAATCAAGTAAATCAAATAAATCAATCAAATAAATAAATCAAATAAATAAATAAATAAATAAAGAAAGAAAGAAAGAAAGAAAGAAAGAACATATGTACACATTAACTGAAGAAAGACTCAATGAATGAGCATCAAAAAAGTATGGAAAAAGTATGAAAAAAAGGGAATTATTGAGCAAAGTATTCATAAAAGTATGACCGCAAGTATAAATAGTATATTCATACAAATAGAATGAATTAAGTAAGTCAGGATATACTGATCTTATGATGAATTAGAAAATTAATGAAATTAAGAAAAGGTAAAAACAGAAGAATGAATGGAAGTACAAACAAAAGTATGGAAAAATGAGAAGGAAGGAAGGAAGGAAGGAAAGGAAGATAGGAAGGAAGGAAGGAAGAAAGGAAAATAGGAAGGAACAAATAAATAAAGAAAGAAAGAAAGACAGAAAGAAAGAAAGAAAGAAAGAAAGAAAGAAGAAAGAAAGGAAGATAGGAAGGAAGAAAGAAAGGAAGGTAAAAAGAAAGAAGAAAGAAAAGGAAGAAAGAAAGAAAGAAAGAAAGAAAGATAGGAAGGAAGGAAGGAAAAAAGAAAGAAAGAAAGAAAGAAAGGAAGGAAGAAAGAAAGAAAGAAGGAAGGAAGAAAGAAAGAAAGGAAGAAAGGAAGATAGGAAGGAAGAAAGAAAGGAAGGAAGAAAGAAAGGAAGGAAGAAAGAAAGGAAGGAAGAAAGAAAGAAGAAAGAAAAGGAAGAAAGAAAGAAAGAAAGAAAGAAAGAAAGAAAGAAAGGAAGAAAGGAACGAAGAAAGAAAGAAAGAAAGAAAGAAAGAAAGAAAGAAAGAAAGAAAGAAAGAAAGAAAGAAAGAAAGAAAGAAAGAAAGAAAGAAAAAAAGAAAGAAAGGAAGAAAGGAAGGAAGGAAGGAAGAAAGAAAGAAAGAAAGAAAGAAAGAAAGAAAGAAAGAAAGAAAGAAAGAAAGAAAGGAAGGAATGAAGGAAGGAAGAAAGAAAGAAATGAAGGAAGGAAGAAAGAAAGAAATGAAGGAAGTTAATTAAATTAAAACTTAATTTGTGATTCTAAATCAGAAAAACAATGGTGTTTTATAAAGCGCCCTCCTCCTGCTGCAGGGAGAGCGTGAGACTTCTACACACGTTCTCTTTCATATCAGTGATTTCAAAGCTCAACTCTCATAACCCTTCAGAAACTCACTCACAGATTCTGATTTTTGATGTTGCTCGCCTCAAACGTCCCAGGAATGTGCAGTGTGTGAGTTCATCATGTCAGTTCATCAGCGTTAAACCCACTGACACGCAGAGAACGTGCCAGCACGAGGCCTTTCCTTCAGACCTCCCAATTAACACACTCCTGTCTGCTGATCTCTGCCACAGAGCCCAATGATGAGAGCCACAGGAACATAACTAATAAAAGTCCTCGTCTCTCTTCTTGTGGGAACTTTTGGGTGAGTTAGTGTTTGGAAGACTTGTTAAAGTCCTCTAGGGCGAGTTGGAGGCTTTTCTAAAAGAAGCTCGACCAGATGCCCCACGATGGCGGATGCTCATGTAGCCGACGGGCCAGTAAGCTGGACTTTAGTGCCTGAACTCCGACCCCTGGGACTCTGACAGATGATTGACGGTTAGGGCAAATTTTCTGCTTTGTTGGATCAGCCTTCTGTTAGCACTCATTAAAAGTGTGGAACCACTGACAAGGAAATAAAAGAGTTCTGTCCTTTTTAGGAAAATGTAGATGTTCTGTGCATTTGTGCTTCAATAACACGCTGAAGTGTGTGTGTGTGTTTGAGAGAGAGTGTGTGTGTGTCTAAGAGTG